CGACCAGTTTCAGGACATTGACCAGTATCCTGATTGTACCAGTACTTCGAGGCCCCTGCCCAAATGTCTCGGTCCGCAACATCGGTATCTTCCACTGCCATACGATACCGCGCTAGGTCACCTAGGCACTCGATCCAGGTCCCACTAAAATGCGGGACGCTCTCTAGAAGGAGTGTCATCATCGAATACGAGAGGTATATAAAGGCTAACATGTGATCTAGCGAGGCAGGCAGTCTTTTGCGCAACAGTTCCAAGCAAGAATGAATCCCATAGCGCCACATGCGAGTAGGCATAGCATACTTCTCAGCAAGGTGCTTCACGACCGGACTGGCTGCTGGATGCTGTGAAGTGAGAAAAAAGTCATGATGTTCGTGGAGCAGCATTCGGTGTAGCGAGATGACCGTTTTCCACTGATCCTGTGACAATTCCGTTATTGGGGCCATTTGCGAGAGATTCCTGATCACTTCGATGCACTTTTTCTCCACTATGACCAGCCCGGCGTAGATTTCTCTCACTTCATGAATGAGATGTTCCTCGGCGATGGGGTTAGTCTCCAACTGTCTAATCATTTGCTGGTTGTCTTCCTGAGGAATAGCCGCAGAGTCCACCTTGCTCATGTCGTGTTCGAGTGATCTCTGGACCTGATACTGTGGGCTATCGTGAGCCCCTTGGAGATCAGCAGCCATTGTGTTGTAACCAGCAGTAGGACCTGAGTGGGATCTGCCCAACTCGGGACGCGGTGCATGGTTGCATGCTGACAATTTTTTCTGTCCGGTATTTTGATCAACCTTTGCTTGTTTCTGTATATCCTGAGGCACAAATTCTCCCGTCGGGGAAGCTGACCCTAACAAGCGCTGTTGCGTTTCCATAATGCCAATTATCAGGCTACTATGGCGGGGAGTCTTCCTTTGAGTGCCGTGGGTTTTGGCTAGTGAAATTCCCCGTGCCCTTGTTCTCCGGTCGGGAGGAATTTCCTGAAGTGCGGCTCTGATATCCGTTGACTCAATCTGGTGCGAATTGAACCTCCTGATAGATTTAAAGCAATGAGTTTGAAGGCAGTGGTAGAGAATAAGACCCCTTACCTGGTGACGTGTAAACAACTTCCAATATTGTAGCCAGTCCTTTTTACTGACAATTTCAATACAACTAAGCTCAGTTTGCGGAATCAAAGTATATAATTGGCCTCCAATAGTACAATGTAAGCTGACGCTTGATTACAGACTTTTTATATGAATAATGTGGGCTTTATAGGGGTCGGAGGCAGTCGGCCGTCTACCACCAGCCCATACACCCGGGTGTGCGATCACTTTAATTACAGTACTTTTTTTCAACTTATCCTTTGTCTCAGTCTATCTGACCCACTCTCTTTATAGGCAGCCTCATTTAACAGGGTGCCTTCGATGATTGGTGTTTCTACATCGGCTTAACAACCAACATTGACGTACACATGTCAACCACGGAAATCACCCATTATTAGCCGTAAAACTCCCGTTCACTCAAGCTACTAGAGCCAATGGCTTTTCAGGTAGCATGTATCCCATAACAGACGCCCGTAGAGATTCATTCAATGGATATTGAAGCGTACAAGCAAAGTAAGCTGAACTGACCAAATCAAGTTAATATAAAAAATACAGCACTACCCACATCACGCATTCACCCGGGTATTTGTTAAAAAGGGCAACTACTAGGCTGTCATGTAAAAAATGGCGGGATAGTGGGTGGAAACTCTCCCTATCACATTTCTAGGAGCGGTGAAGTAATATCAAAACCCGCAGGGCAGACCGGACAAGCGCAAACTTGATCGAGAAACTTGTCAACACAGGCCCCTTGTATAATATTTTTGACAAAGACTGGCTTCCACAATCCTCTAGGCACCCAGTTGTCTAGACAATATACATGAAGTGTGGAAAGCGAAGTAGGAGTTTACGTCAACCTTTGCCCGGGTGAATTTTGAATTTCTTTGTACGGCGTACGTGGGATATCCGCCTTTCCGCCAAGAATAGCCTCAGAAATGATAATCCTACATTGATTCCACATCTACCATGCGGTAGTTGCTGTCTTTTCCTGGCCTTGGGCAGGGACGATGGGAATTGTGACTTCCAGAATTATGAGCTTCGATAGGGTGCTTTAGATGGGCATACTTCTGCTGGTTATTTCCACACACGTCGGATGTGCGAGAGTCGAATGAATAACTGCCACATAAGAGCTTTCTGAAGTTCCCGTGCTCCATAACCCAAGACGCATTACACCTAGGGCTCAAGTCTCAGTACTGTTACTCTGAATTCAATTTCCATCAATGATAATTTACGTTGCTTAGTGCTTTTGCATTGTATTGATAGCTTTTTTTACACCTAAACACTCGCACTTCAGCTAGCTCCGAGGGCTATGAGTGTGAGTTCCCAGGACAACAACTGTCATGAGAGAACGATATTGACCACCGAAAGTTCAGTCACCGGTCCGTTTGCAACAATGGACGAGCAGATACCTGATGTGAATGGATATGCCAGATCTCTTATTAACGCGGTCGTTAGATATACTGGTACTCAAGACAAGCTTACGACTATCGTTTGCATGACCTGTGGGGAAAACTTCACGTCTTCTTTTGCTGATGTGAATGGAACTGTCCAATATGGAAACCTCAGAATGTGGGAGTGGGCTTGTCCTTATGGCAGTGACATTTATATTTACATGAGCTGTTATAAATACTTAAAAGACCATTCGCAGCACATCACGGATCAAAGCATGGTTTTGGAATTGACGACAGCAATGACAGAGAAGTTGTCGAACTTCAATCCTGGGCCGGCACTGAATCCTTATTTTTACAAGACAGTCATTGCAATACGGGGGGTTGACGCGAAGGCCCTTACTGTTCTACGAGACGTGCATGGCTGAACTTGATATTGAGAACATAAAACTAGAAATCCTGTGAACGTGTGGATACAAATATAGAGCCAAGCAATAATTCGAATATACCCTTTTCCTACATCAACGGGATACCGGTCTCCGCAATGGGTTATGGCCTTTCGACTGACATCGAGGATTTCGGAGGTAGCCAAATTCTGTCCCCTGATCTCTTTCGGCCAGCCAAGAAAAATGCAAATAATCCGCCTTGTTTTCCATTGCTTCCACCCATGTCTTGAGGGCAGGACGATCGTTATTGGGCGAGTCGGGGAGAGGGCTGGGACCGTGGAATTGGGGAACCGAAAAGATGCTTTCGAAAGGAGGGTTGTAGGTATTGTAGCCATGACGAAGACCGTGTGTAATGTATTCTGGGACGCTTTAATTTTCTCCCATAGAACCAATTGAAAATATCAGTCATGTTGCAGTCAATAGAAGACGAAAGGGATTGCTCACGACAAAAACAGCGCACGATAAAAATACAGGAAAAGAAACAGACCCGGAATACCAATCATCACGCATTTTAGCAACCATAGTGCTGAGTATGTTCTTTTCCCCTCTCAGTTTCAGCAGCCTAACTGTTCTTGAGGCTGTTGTGCTCGATCGAGTTCCGTTAGGTGAAAGAGGCTTCTGCTGCTGTGTGTATACTGAATGACCAGCCAGATTCAGTCGAGTGGAGGGCTTGACGCGAGGCACCTTGAAGCGTTGATGGGTTGAGCTCTTCGTTTCTTCGGAACGAAGCAATCGACAGGAAAGACAATCAGTTTGGTTGAGATGGCGACTTACCTGAATATATGAAGAGGATGGAGGGCGAAGACTCCCCAAGGTGCTGTCTCTTCTGCAGTGGCTAAAAGCAGCACAGGGCTTTGGTGGGATGGATTGAGTAATCCGAGATCGGGTGCTGAAGGGGGCAGCCTGAGTTAGCCGGAACACCTTTGTCCGTCCCGATCAAGACCTTTACCCACGCAACAAATTGATTGCAAAAATCAGGGCTGACAACCTTGACGATGGATGTGTGATGCAAGCTTTTCATCGCAACCAGTTCACAAAATGGCAAGCTCACGTGTGAGAAGGCGTGAGCAATCAATGCTGTGGACAACATGGCGGCACATGGAGCGTACCAGCTCAACTCATACTTACACTCAGACACAAAGCATTTTTCGCAGAAGTGCTTCTTTCTTTCAGCACAGCTTCCTTTTGCATACTACCCACTTGTCTCTGGCCTTGACTGTGAGATAAAACATGGGGGTCCAGACCCCTCTGGCTTAATCACGACTGCATCATATCAGTTTCAGAGTGAGCTGTGTACCTCTGGTCACTGGAGAAACGTTCACTTTTCTATCATACTGACATCCATCTATACATAGCCCGCAATATCCAACTTCGCGAAAAAGCTCTCCAGTTCGATTCGTTCCATTGATATCGAGAAGCCGTACTCCTCCAAAATAATCTCCCGCTTCAAATCAAGCCCCTTTCACGATACCAAAAGAGGCGTACTTGCCAATAATAGGTGGCCCTCAGCTTTCCTCGAAAAGCGAATTGGTGGCCTCATTGATGTACAGGTGGTTGACCGGCGCAGAATAGCCTATGAGCTTCCTCGGGGAAAGCGCAACAATCGAAAAACATACAATTCAGCAAGTCGGTTTCCGCTTTCTTCGCGATCCCTTTGATACAATGGGCATGCAAATTACCAGCCAGTGAGAACCAGAGGGGCGCATTTCAACCCGTTGATCAAACTTGCAGGGTTGCATTTACACATGATCATTGTGGGGTGAGTTACGGTTACAGTGAGGTGGAATCGTAGCTGTGGGGGAAGATCGTTAGATATAAAGAAAAAGACCACCCTTGACTCTAGTCTTTTCAGCCAAGAGATGGCATAAGGGAGGTTATAGCAACTGTGTTGATATGAAGCGTCTAATCTTTCGTCTTTGACCGAGTTCATAAAACCAACCCCCCACCCGGTCGTCCGAATAGGAGCACCAGTTTGGCAAGTAGTCCATGACACAAGCATAATTGAACGCGAAGAAGTAACATTGTAGAATTGCAAATCAAATTATTTCAGTGTTTCTGTTCCAATCCCCATTTGTCACATTGTAAGCCAGTCATAGATCATTGAAAGGTGTTTCGGACTCTAGGTTAAGATATTGTGTTCCCTGCGTTATTATTCCGAATCAGCCCTGATATTCACAGGAGTGGACGAGTGTACGTACCAATTCCTCCATTTCACGTAGGAGCAGGAGTTTTTCCACCTCAAGGATATCTTGGACCTTGATATCAGAAGACCACAGAACTTTGCGGAGCTTCAAGAACGGAAGCTTTGCGACTTGGCTTCCCTGTAATATCCAATAGAGCGCCCTGTAGGTATCTGGGGCAATCAGTCCCAAGTTCTGGAAATGTATATTGAACTCACATACCATCTCCCTCCGACTCCATTGAATTGAGGCCCGATGACGACATAGTCGGCAGTAGGGGGCCGGCCACCCCCTTCCAGAGTGACACGATATGTGCACATGTCTTTGGATCCAAGTTCCATAGAACATCACAATAAAGATACTCTCGGAATCGAGTGCCTTTCGATCTAAACCTTGTCAGTATCCTCCTCAATTCCTCACATTGTTCCGTCGAAAGTCGACCATTGACCCATGAAAAAGTTATCCCCTCTGATATGTAATTGCTGGAGCTAGGTGACGACAGTCGGTTTCTCTTAATTGGTCGCGCAAAATGAGGGTTCGGCTCGTTGGGCTGGAAGGGAACATAGCTGGTATCTTCCTCATTCCGTTTCCTCCTGTGTAAATCAGGTGTTAGCTATGTCATTATAGAAAAGAAGCAGGTCTCTAACTTATTCTGCTGCGACTGTTCCTCGGTTATCATTCGCGAGGAACTCTGCACATCGCTGGGATTTGCCCTGTAGAATGAAGCTGCAATGGAGAGGTTCGTGGGCATTATGCGGGCATGCCCATCAACCTCCTGAAACATAGAACCCGTGCAACCACAAAGAGATTTTTCAGCCGATCCGACCTGGGAGGAAAAAGGACGTGCTTCAATGCAATTATACATGTATTGTTCAACATTGTACGGAACGATGCTGTGTGGGTTCGACCCAGTGATACATAAATCGGCCTGGGCTGGACACCTGGTGAAGTTCTCGGAAACTACCCATGTAGATGGCCCAGAGACAGGGTAGACCTGATAAAAAGGCCAGTCTTCGTCGTTCGGCATGATCTCAAGGCATCCAAATCCTGAGATCATTCAGAATGGAGTTCAAATCAGGATGGGAAAGCCGGAGAGCAGGTGTGTTAATGTTTTGAAAAGCCAATATGTTCGGATAATCGGACTTGACGCGCACGCTACAAGTCCCGAGGAAGTCGAATCAGAGGTAAGACTCTCCTTTTGAATCCCTTAGCAGATGTTACAACTGCTTTGGGTCAAGGTCTGAACCCTGTGGTGGTCCTCAAAAGAGAAGAAGGGATAGTGGGAAGGCAATGGCTATCCTAGGCCTCTTCACGAATGTAGGTTATAAAATGGCTGAACAAAAATGAGTCGACTCAGGATTCTTTCCAAAGGTTTGCACGCCCGAAAGAAAGGAAGCATGCGAGGTTTGCTCCTCCGATCAGCTGGTGGGAAGAGACGGATTAATACCGCCTGTTTTTCGGTCACGGGACACCGGATACCGCTCCTTTTCCATATACGGAGGGATCTGCCTAGCCTACCATGCGCCGTTGTCACTCTCATTTCATTTGCGCGAGGCTTTTAATTTGGATCCTGCACTAGACGCAAGTGACTAGGCGCGCCATGACCCAAGCTTCAAAGTTACAAGGGCACAGGCAACCCCTGCCTGCATCGTATTACGAGATCAAATATAGTCCCACTTAGCGTCAATCCAAGGTTTTTCAAAACGTTACCGAGCTTTGGAAAGATACCGCGATACTCTGGGCGCTTTGGGGTGACATGTTCGAGGAAGTGGCTTGGTAACCGTTGATGGTGCTTCCTAATACATTACTTAAAGCCTGGCATCTATTTAACGCGAAATATTCATTGACTTCAGATGAAAAATGCCAACTGCCATATTGCCTTCTTCTGCCGCCGCCTTTACGCCACGAGCGCGGCCCATAGTTGTGCTGGGGAAAAAGTCCCCTGGTTGATAGAGACTTTCAAGCGAGTGAAGCAGCCTAGGCGATCTTTGAACAATCTCAAGCAGCAAACCAGCTACCTCATTGAGAAACTGGCATCAAAGAGCGCAACCTGGGCATTGTGCTCGGTGATGGTGGAGAACGCACCTGGGATCCAGCCATGGTGCTCTGCAATGCCAGAAAGCCGGCTCTGGATGATCCATGTCGAGGCATATGTCGTGCATGTCGACATGGTCTCACAGAGAAAAGAGGTGGCTTTTAAGTTAACTGAAGAAACGATCACTAAACTGAGGAGATCCTATGAAGAATTCCAATCACTTGATGCAGCTACATACAGGTTGAAGTGGCCACAGATGCAAACTCAACTGGACAAATTACACGACGAGTTTGTCGAAGCCGTCAACAAGTTCGTTTACCGGACCGATGTCAGAGTTCTGGAAGGACTAGAGGAAGACGGCTCCGGAGAGCTACTAGGTGGTTGCAGCATCGATGTTAAAGCAGCCATTCTCAACCTTTTCGCGCCATTGATGCCTCCCCCGCATGTGGTACATTTCTTGTACCCAGTAGTTCCATGTCTCGATGGGACTGAGCCCGGCGCACAAAGACCTATCCACCCGTTTGAGGAAGACCAGTCGTGGAGTACTCAGCCAAAAGTTCGCACGTCGAACACCGAAAACTATCCAAGCTCGGGTGCTGGTCTAGACATCAGGTATGCCGCAATTTTCCCGGTAGCTTCCGTTGGTAGCCCGCTTTACACTAGCGGACCCATCTCAGCGGTCGAGCCAATTTCTCATACGCCAATGTATAGCTCAATCGCGGCAGCAGACGCGGAGTCATTTGGTGGAAGCCCTTTTTTCTTTTTTTGAGTCTTGGGCTGAAAGTGGTCCCTGCTGCCTGCGTGCCTTGGACGGTCGCATTCGAGGCCGTTTACTATATATCTCCGAATTGAACGGGTCTCCATCGAGGCATGAGCAGGGAGCAGGCTACTGGAATCGGAGGGACCCACAAACAAAACTGTGGAATGAGACATTATTCGGAGATATCGGAGGAGATATCGGAGGAGAAAGAGGAGGAGGGTAATGGGTTCGTGCTTCGTGGTGAGACGGTATCCTGAGTGTATATTTGCAAGATCAGCAACTTCTTTGTGTACTTAGTATGCTTTGCATATATTAAAAGCTCGTGAGGTGACAACGTCTTTCAATCAAACGCAACCAGAAAGGCTGCTCTTGCGGCATGCCTTGTGGTTACTTTGCTTGCGCAGACGAGCAGATGCGAAGCATGATGCCGTTTGCTCAGTGTATGTCGGGAAGCCTATCTTGCTTAGCCTACTATTATGTCGTGGGCTTTCTGGAAGGCAAGTTAGAGGTGAACCCATAGGGTCACGGCAGTAGCAATAAAGGGATGTAGTAGGCGGAAAAGGAGGAAGTTCGATGAGCTGACGGGCAATCTTAGATGCAAGGCGTATTAGCAGTTGGACCTGGTTGATGCTGATTTTTCAAGCACTGACTCACTGTACCTAGTCCTGAATCATGTAATATCCGATAGACTTTAGGTAGGGCATGGCGGCACAACAGACGGCTTCGAGCATAGTCTTCTACACCCATGAGGTTCAATTCTGTCTTCTTCCCTTGGTATTCTCTACCAAGTTTAAAAGCGCCTTTTCAATATCAGGAGCATCTATTCCAAGAACGCAGATACACCCCAGTTACCTCCAGTTCCACTCTGTCTGGTTGCCTTGTTTTGTTCATATAAACATGCCTTTCGCCGGTCTTCGCAGGTAGGCGGCTTAGGCGGTCCTAATTGTGCAGCAGGTGTCTTCTGAGTGCCACAAACCAGGACTAATATTGGGACCGGATCCTGTGAGACGTACGATATGTGGCAGAGCAATCGATATGTCGGGATGGTGGGTTGCAATGGTGGTGGCGTCGAGTAAAGCATTGAGCCATATCGTCGGTAATGGAATACTTTCGTAGGTGGTCAGTGTCGAGACGAATGCGCAGAACTGTCATCTGGTGAAATGTTTCCGAATTTTTGGTTTCTGGTTCTTTTTGGACGACAGTCCTTTGACGAGCACATAGGGGCGTACTGAAGATTGCCAATCTAGTGAAAGATTTTAGCTAGCAGGTAAGGAGAATGTTGTACAGGAGAAGACGGGATGCGAAGCTGTCACAGCAGACAAGACACTTCCGCGAATTGCGTAAAAATCCTTTTTGCTAAGGGCAAGAGCTACTGAGATAGCTGTCCACACGCACTCTATCATAAGACTAACGTGAATTCGGTGGAAGACATTGGGATGAGGGTAGTTTGCTCTTGCCCCATATAGGATAAACCGAAAGTAATGATAAAGAATCCAGTTCCTTGGTAGAAATCCTACTTTTGTCCAAGATCAAATAATCTTGACAGACCATCAATTCGGCCGCCGATGGACATCCCAACATACTATCGTGAATAAGCCGTCTAGAGCAAAGGGGAAATCGACAAGGCATGGTTTCACAGGGGCAATGGGAATGCTACCCTGTACGAAGACTTCGTGCGGTAAACAGGAAGGGTCGATTTATCTCCGATTCTACCCGCTGCCTGATAGCACGACACTATTGAGCGTAATCTATGAGGCTACCCTTGTCTACCCTTGGTACTATTTCATTTGGAATATTTGTGGACCTGACAGAGGCTGTTTCTTCCACGTGGTCCGAGGTAGCCGACAATTTCTTGGCCCAAACCTTCGCTTTGCGTACAATCTTGGTCCCACTGGCCGATTACAGCAACCACTGACTATTACAATGCAAATATTACCTCGTAATTGCCAGGGGGTGGCATCTGCCATGTAACAGGCCGTGTCCCATACACTTCCAGTTCCCGCACCGGAGGCACATATCTTATATTCGCCGCAAGTCTGGCTTCTCAAAATGACCAGAAAAAATCATCCAAACACCTCGGGAAGACAATCGTATATCGTCCTCCACGACCCATCAGTTTTCTGGTGGGAGCACCGAACCGCGTGGGGAGTCTACGGTATATTTTTGCCTATCTCATCATTAACTTCTAACTTCAGGTATTCAGCCGGTATCCTCAATCAAGCCTTGCCCCCGGCGAAAACGAACAGGGGAACGATCGAAGTACTACCACCATTCGCGATACCTTCTGTTCACCGACACGCTTTATAGACACAGAGACTTGAGAATGGTCGAAATCAAACCGGAATATTCGAGAACTGCAATCGCGCCCATCATGGCCCCAGCAGCACACAAATCTATGGTAACTCGCAGGTACTCAGTGGTGACGTTGCCGAAAGCCACGGATCCAGTGCAGAAAAGTTGCATGTTATCAAGTGTATTTCCGTACAATTTTTGGAGCAAATTTGTCAACGGTGATTTGGATCCGGAGGCTTTCCAGGCGTTCTTCTGTAGGGACTCCTGGAATGATCTAGCCATTTCCGGATCTTTGACATGTTCATAAGCCACCACCCGGGGTTTACAACCCTTCTATATCATGAGCTTGTTCTTCTTGGTGATGGGTAATGATGCTCGCGAAAATATGGACATACTGGGAAAATTGCCCAATGGGTATATTGGAGCGTTGGGAAAGATAGACACGGATTGGGAGCCGACATCCTCTGAGGTGGAGGTGGTCCAGTAAGGATGGTGAGATGTAAACCCGGCGGAAGGTGTTAGGTGATGGTTAGTGTCCATGTTTAAGCGGAAGGCCAGCGTGAAAGATTCTCGCACTGGGAATGACGGGATGGTGGCCCGCTTTTAACACCAGTGGGAAGCAGCAGAGTGAGAATTCACTAGCCGTGAATTAGGAAATGGCTACGTGATTGATACGACTACAGGTGGTTTGACGCATATTGTGGTACTCCTGCGACGATTCGACGCCCTAAAAGCAATCGCCATTTGAGGGGGCCTGTAGGGTTGCCTTCCTTGGGCATGTCTGCTCCACTTTCGAAGCTAGGGCTGGCCTATACCCTATGGCCCAAAGCGTGGTTGCTGTTAACTACTTTGGTTATCATTAACTGTTCTTTCTGGTCTTTGTCTTTCCGCATCAAGAAGCGGCTTGCCAACTCTTACATTTCTCTCGCTTTTTAGCCCCGTCCTATGATAATAGTCTGGTCACTTTTGGAAATGCAATTCCATGACATGGGATTACGCCTTTACCAAACATGCATAAAATCAGGGACAAATAGCTCACTGGAGCTCCCAAACAAACAAACAAGCAAGCCAAAATTCGTCGCATTGTTTTTCCTTGAACCCCCAAAGTAGTAGAGAGAAGAAACCGGAACTTAGGAGAAACACAAAATACATATGAAGTAAATTCACCCTAATGCCACAGAGCATTATCTATCAATGGCGGCCTTAAGGTCGCATCCCGAACTGCATTCACAGCATTTCAAGTAAAGTAGCTTCTGCGCTATTTTCCAGCAGGCTCCACTGAAACTCGAAGGATTTTTGCAGTTGCAAAATTATCTCTTCAATCTTCCTTTTAAAAGACACTCTCCCCTCAAATCTCGCCCTTTCAAAGATTGCCGGTGTGTTCAGAAGATAGTCTAGCATTGTCGGGGGAATAGATTGGGATCTCTGGAAATTTTCGAGGAACCTGAAGAGACTGGGAGATAAAGATATCTTAAAATCCTGACCGACAATATCAGGAGGTAAACCAAATTGCGAGTCGAAGTACCATGCAATATGTGCCAGTAAGGTGACTGTTGCAGACGACTGCCGGCCAGCAAGGCTGGTGGCATACCTGGCGAGAAGTTCCCTCCGGGCTATAGCACAATTTATCTTCTCCAGTGGAGTGCTTGTTGAGGCATTGGCAGTTCTCCCAAAGTATTTGTCGTCAACTGAGCGACATTCCGCAGAGTATCCCTATTGGGACACTGGTAACTTTGTCAACCACGCAGCGAAAGCCTTCAATAATCCTTCGGCGGCGGGGAGAAACAAACGAGCTAAAACCGGCTGTGGTCACGAAGACTTGAGATGAGCAAGAGGACTTCTGGCTGAGGAAGAGTGTGATCTTACCTTCTGCGCTGGAAAGGGATCCATCCGTCTTCTTTGCGTACTCATGGTGCTAATAGTAGCAAGGGGTAACTGCGGCTGAAAGGTCGTTATATGCAATCTCGACCATGCCAAGTTACTGGAGCATCGGTTCATGCACATGCATCCATCCTACTAATCCTAGTTCTGTGGCCCGCCCGCCGATGGGCGGGGCCCAGTAGTTTGACCGACCCCTGGCGAGCACTGACGTCGCAACTAGGCGATACAGCTCCCAGGAGCTAGTGCCCGTAATTACAGACTTTTCAATACACCCTATTACAGTGAATTAAAACAACTTCCAGGGAGAGGAGAGAGGGTTTGGGCGTGAAATGTACGCCGCAGAGAAGGGTCAGCGCTTAGGAAAGGAACTTCCAAACAATATCGTTGTTTCTTGTCACATTGACTGACTAGGAAGCACCCTTACAATTGTTCTTCTGACGCTGCCCATCCTTTGCTTTCGCTGAACAGATCCTCATTTACCCTCTACGTTTATGCAGCCTTGCGAAAATCTATGTGTCCATTATTTGCAAATAGAGAAAACTAAAGGTGCCGTGCCACAGATCCCCACCAAGTACCTAATCGTGACTGACGGCACGCTACCCGAGTGAATCAGTCCCAGAGATGACCCATGGCATGGTGCCCGTAAATTAACTCGCAGGCCGCAAATGCTCATTTCCTAACGGAATCCAAATCCCCATATATGAAGCGACGAAGCGCATTTTTGTGAAAGCATTATGTTCCGCGTCTCGGACATTCTTCTCGTGTTCAAGGGCATTGGAAAGCTTGACTTTGGCATGTCGCAGTTTCTTGATATCGAGCCTTCGCTTTTCAGCAAACAGCCCGTCTTTGACTGCATGTATTAGCCGCTTAGTCGAAGAATCCACGCTTTTCTGGAATGGGGGCAGGTTCGCCATGATGATCTCGAGAATGGCGACACTTTGCTTTGTGTGGCGTTTCGCTGCGCATTCTGCGGCGCTGAATTGTGTTTCCAAGGGGCTATGCTGTGCCAGCCACAATACAGCATCTATTCGGTCGAGGTTGACGGCGTGCATGAGTGGAGTGCATCCAAATTGGGCCGAGTCGAAAGAAGGTACTCCGGAATGCTTCAAAAGCCAAGTGAACATGATGTCCGGATTTTGTTGGTGCTCGACCGCTGTGTGCCATGCCGACTCTCCGCGAGGTCCAGCGGCATCACCAATATTGATACCTCGAGCGAAAAGGCTATTGGCAAGGTCGGGCGTCGCGTCCTTCGATATGTCGTGAAGTTCTAACGGGCTCGGCTGGGTCGAAATTCCTGCTGTCCGCTCTGAATGTAGCCTTTTCCAAATGAATAGCAAAATTTCACGTAAAGTTTCGGCATCTCGGAAGAGCATTTGGCTGTTTTTCTCTCTATACAATATAGAAGAAATGCTAGGAAAATGCTTATGAGTGATAAAATGAAGGCTTCCGTGCCTCACTTTCAAGTCAAGGAAGGCACTTGGAGGCACAACTGTAACAGGGCAGGATAAATTAACAACGGGAGAGCGTGGAATGGGGACGCCTGGGATTTTATAGCCGACACCTAGTGCAAGCGCGGCGGTCAGAATTAACGAATCAGAGATGTTGGGAAGCTCATCTCCTTTCACATACACATTATTTATGTCGCCACTCGGGTGAATCACATCTAGAGCACCTTTGACAGGGATGGTTTCACCTGGAATAATTGAGCTCACCAATACCATTGGACTATCTTTGTCGAGCTGACGAGTACAAGTGGATCCTAATGGCATTTCTACTAGCAATCTTAATTGTATTCTTTCTTTTTACACGTGTATTCTCCCATAAAATTAAGAGTTAAACCTCGAGCCATACCGCCGCTGAAATCAACTAATGTGATCTAGCTTTTCCTGCCATACCACTGGCTCAATTTCGAAAGAGCTGAATGGACTTCTGGGAAATCCAGTTTTCTAGCAATGGTAGTCAGATCTTCTGGTCCTTGTCGCATCGTTGGCTAGATATTTTGTTGATATACTATTCAAGGGAGACTGACCACTTTTCCATTTTCTTCACAGCGTAGCCAGTTTTGAAGCATTCGTGGAAGGACCGTGGTCCTTTTCTGTCGAGTCCAAGGGGAGGGTCATCAAATTTACAGCCCATAGCTCTCCAATAACACGGAAGGAAGGTTGAGGTATCTGTCGATATAAGCCCTCTGTGTGTCGGGTCGCCTTTGTATCGACAGTGGGCGTTGAGCGAGCTTGGGGTATCAAAAGAATCGGGGCACAAAGGGCAGATATATTTCATCCCCGATTCCTCAGCTATTTTGATGAGTATAGCGAGCTTCTTTCCATCATCCTTGGGCGTAAGAAATGTCATGTGCTCGATGACCAAGGGCAGTTCAAAGCAGGCGGCTCGACTTGATGGCAGTCGCAAATCTTTGGCATCCATCTTCCACCCAATGGCATCTTTATAAATGCTATGAAATGTGGAAAAGTCATGCGCTGCAAGTCCTTCATGTGCTTTGTCTTTGCCTTCATGTGTTTTTTTCTTCGCTTCCTCCACTTTCGCATGGCAGTGGTTTATAATCTTATCATATCTGGAATAGGATTTGAGACAGGCAGGGCATACATAACATTTGTTCTTTCTTTCCAACATCGTATTCAAGATTTCGTATCTTTTTTGTCGCCAGACATTGTGGTTGGCGATATCTGGTCATCAAAGAAAAGCTGTCCGTAGAAATAGCACAATGAAATGTGAAGAAAACTTTAAGCAAGTATGGGAACTAGATCTCCCTAAATAGCCCGGATTTATGCTTTATGTTTTAGTTTTAAGGCCCAATTGGAGGGACATGGAGGAAATGAGAAAGCCATCTGCATCTACTATATTCCGCCACCGTTGATTTTCCACATGGTGTCCTGTTATCTTAATTGGGACACGACACCTTGCAGCACTGAGAATGAGCGGTGGAGAGGCAACGTAGCAAATCAAGCATACTGCCAGAATCCGGGCTTAGTTGCAGTGATGGGTAGTTCTGGAACTAGTAAAATCTCGATGTTCTCAGTTGTTTGGTCCTGAATACCAAATAGCCACTATTCTGCAGCTGCTATTGCTTCTTCGTATATCTATCTTCCAAGAAACTCCATTCCGCAGACGACAATCTGTATTTTGCCTGGCGGGTTATATTTCGGTCCAGCAAGCGCGTCGATCTGTCACCTTCCAAAATTTGACATGGTTCAATACGCACAGTCTTGCGAGCTCCATCGTCCATCTTAGCATAGAAAAGCAAAAAGGTTTGAGCCATGGGGTGACATTCTAACACCCCTCTGTATTCCTTTAGGATTATTATCCGGGGCGGATTCGCAGGTCTTGTGTGTGGATTGGTGGTATCCATCAATCTGTCCGCTTAGTATTAAATGATGGCGATCGTACAGGTAGAAAACTTACTTTTGTAAAGAAAGGGAAGCCATGACCACGTATTTTCCGCTGGCGGTTCCTCCGGGAGAGGTGGTGTACAGTTGTATGATATCAACTCTGTAGAATCACAAGGTGAAAGATAAGACAGGTTGGCTAGCACAGGTGCTGGAGGGTGTGTGGATCCTGCGAAAGCGTTTACCTCCGCCTCTGTCTCTTTCCCAGGTGTAACGTTCTCATCCCCCAGGAAGGACTCAATGGAAGTATTTCGATGGCAGGTCGAGAATATAGGATTGGTAGAAAAGAGACACCCAGAAAGTGTGGTGAGCAAGCCCATTGAGTCTCGACCTACAGTGTGAATTGGCTTGTTGATGGAGACAGGTAACTTCACTTCGTAGGGTCTCCTCGAAACGGCAGGGTAGCGTAGTGGATTGTCTGCGGCAACGAGGCTGCTATCAATACACCAGACTATATACCCCTGAATCGTACCAATGTCTGGTATGGTATCCCGACCGTCATCATTGGCAAGGGTTCTCCAACTTAGGGCTTGCTGCTGCATGGTTGTTGTTTCCTGCGTGAGGCCGAGGCCGATCAGATAGGTTTGCTTTTTGACGGAGGTCAAAGCGGGATTTTGATACAGACTTTAGCGACGTACTCAGAGTCCAGATTCCGGAGACTAAATCTACATCACGGCGATCCTTGCGCACTTTAGATACAGTGGTCGTCTATCAGGTACCCCGGCTTACCGACAAAGCAACACATAAGTAGCCTCGGGTATCCACTCACAGCACGGGTCATGCATCTAGATAAGTCAAAACCAATTCAAGTGATGAGTACTATAGAGGGTATCAGATAGTGCAGTACATTGAAGACTTCAATTGTGGCCCAGAAAGAGTACAGCGTTTTGATGATCAAAGAGTGCCAGGAAAGTGCCAGGAGAGTGTGCCAGGAAAGTGCCAGGAAAGTGCCAGGAAAGTGCCAGGAGAGTGCCACAGGAGAGTGCCAGGAAAGCGTCAGTATGGTGTCAGTATGGCGTCAGTAAAGCATCAGGAAAGCGTCAGGAAAGCGTCAGGGGAGTGTCAGAAAAAGCAAAGTTTGTATTCAAATATTGTAATCGGGCTTGGGGTACTTTCTACGTTGGGGCCATTTCTGGACGCCACATTCGGATTTACCGCAATCTAGTCTAATAACGGGCTCGCTTTCTGGTGACACCGGTGCTCTTGTCGCATTCGAGCATGCAATTTCACATGTATTAGTTCACAGGCTTTCTCTAGTAATCGCGAACAAGTGGTGCTTTTGTTTTCCCCGCGGGCCTGCTCAAAGCCCTAGACTAATTATACTTGTCCGCAACCATCTTGGGTGCTCTGATAAACAGTACTTACGACTGACTCGTGATAGGCCAACTTATAGTCAAAGCGGACTGTGCACGGTTTGGCAAAACATATAAGACGAACATGTTGGAAGGACCAGGGCATAGAAAAATCGCAAACAATCATCCTCCCAGTGGTACTCAATACCATACGTGTCTCCTCAGCCGAACATTTTTTAATTATCGGGAAGGTTGGACCCCTTTCTATTGACTTTAACGTCCAATAATAACGGCTCTACATGCTGCAGATGTGCAAGTGGAACGAATTGTTGTTCCGATGCGGACATCTCGATCGATATGCTTTGGTTCGAAGTCATACCCCGAATGCGACCTGTCAACCATCTACTCAAAACCCGCCGCAAGAGATCACCCCAGTCATAGGGGATAGCCTCTGCCCTGCGTGTAACTATCCATCTCCATCTAGTACCATGTCCCCTTAGGTGGGTGATATTGCAGATTCTTCCCTATTTCTTCCCGGATCCCCAGCTTACAATGTGAGTGTCTCAGTTGCGGTTATTGGTCCCCTCAGATCTGTACCGAAGTCCGCCTTTGCCGCTGAAAATTCAATTGAAGGTTGATGAAGGAACTGACGGTTCGCGGCACTATCATAACTTTGGGAAGCTTAAGTAAACAAGTTCTCTCGAAGAGGCAAGGCTGTCGGTTATATTCATCTTTCTACTCATTCTCAGTGGGAGCATTATATGCAACCGGATGTGTACCGGCTTTGCAGTCGCACACAGGGGGTTATCGCCGCTCCACGCTCGTTCAATAAACGTCGTTTTATATCTTTAGTCTACTACTGTAGAATGTAGTGTAGTGTAATTTCTTAATTTCAAACAAGGATGTCAAAATGTCGCGAATTGATACACCACACGCTCGCAGGGTAAGAATTCTAAGCTCAATCGATGCATAAATTGTTGCCTTAAAACAGCCAACATGACTAAGCTTCACCGCTTTCGTTGGTCCGTGCACAACGCCCTTGGTTATAAATGCCTTGAGATCTGGCGACACCTGGTTTCCGAGACTCTAGTCAAATATTTCTTCTATCTGCTATCTGAAAGTGAAAGGCCAACTTTATGCTTCATGGAGAAAGTAAATCAGGCTGTGTCCGATGCCCTTGCAACGCATCGTTCAATCCGAATCCTAGGTGACCTGCCTACCGAAAAGCTGAATCGCGAAGACTATCTGGCCTCGACTCGTGAATTAATCGAAAGCCTCGTCGATTTTTGGAAAGAAAAGGCGGACTTGCGGCTTTTGGCAGTGGAGGTTTGGCCGCGACACACCTACTTTGCGCTCGATTTCAACAACGACGAGTACAACTATGACAACGCCCACACTCATGTAGTAGTTATACCTGTCTACCTGTTTCGGCTGTCCAGGAAAAGCCATACCTGGACAATCTTTCGACACAAGCCCCAAGACTCATCGCTCGCCAAAAGAATTGCGGACCTACATGAATTCAATGGGCAGGATCCCATTCCCTTCCTTGAAGACCACATCGAAGGTGTGACACATTATGCCCCTCGGAATAGCAAAAACCCTGTCGTTGCATCTGAGAACCCTACGTGAAAAAAGGTCCACCTCCAAACAATGATTTAGTATTTGAGACCCTCATTATAACTCGTAATGAGATAATCAAAAGAATTGGATTTATGGAGGGTTAGGAGAAAGGTTCAACTACTGTCGCATATACGTGGACGTATTTGCTTTTGCTTCGTTGATGGTTAATTAAGAGACTCGCAAAGGAACTTGAAGGATTCATATAGACGATGTCAGTCAAATGAATATCCCGGCGCGAAATCCTGTGGAGATAAACTCAACAAGTAGCGAGACTCTATCATCGGCTGTTGCGTAATCTAATGTTGTTTTCATTCAATCAGCACAGATCATGAACTGAGCCTTGTACGTAGATGGTAACAGAGGGGAACTTCTGACAATTTCGAATCCACAATTTTTAGGCCATAATGCACGGGAAGGTTGTATTTAATTGAGGATTGATCACTTCTGAATGTGGGGTCCTGTACTACTCGAAACGCAAATACTGAATATCATTACCTTCGACCGAGGCCTTTGTCTTCTGCGTACCTTCGCGTCGAATGGAGTAGATGATTTAATTTGGATGGTGTCATGATGAAGTTGCCTATCGGTTAATTTGTTTCTTAGGTATATGGAAAGAAAGTTAACAGTTGGGACCAATTTGGGGACATCCGCGGTAAGCCCTTTGAGATTTTCAGCGGATATATATTGCTGAGATTCATGGTGCATTTGAAATTAGATACTTGATTCCTCTTAGGCATGAATGAGTAATCAGCATTGATCCTACCAAAAAGGGTGTAGTTCAGGAGAGTCTTTTAAATAGAATCACTCACTCATTGAGAGAAAAATCAGACTTAAATACCTCGCTGGCCTTGACAATATATGCTTCCCAAGTATCGTTTGTACCTATTTACATATAAATTCAACAAAGACCTGGGTTGCAGCACCTATAGCTGATACTCAGCTTACAAAAGCCATTCTTACTGGAATTGCGGTTTGAGCTTTCAACGAAGCATCCGAAACGCGATAGGTGTCCGTGACCTGCCTAATCGTGTAGCATCGAAAGAGTCCGATAAATGAGAGTAGATGGTGCATAGCATATCCACAATACGTACAAGATCGGGGGTACTTGTATTGGCACAGAGACAAAGCGACAGTGACAAGACAACTTCTCGGAATCGCCCCAAAGCTGGATAGCGCTCATGGAACATCCGCGACGCACATATAGCAAATCAATGGTATATAGTCCATGGATCATACCAAAGTCCCGTATCTTACCCAGGTCCGTATCATTGGCTACCATTGTCTGATTTCAGGGCCTGTTAGACCAGTGCTTTTGGTTTAGGTCCAGGCTGATCTCATAGTTTGCTTTTGCGAAAAACGAAGTTCGCAGACTAAAAACTTAATGTACGTAGGAAGTCTACTAGATCTCCTGCCACCACTACGGCGATCCTTGTGCAACTGTGAATTAGAGAAAGAGGAGAACATCAGAAGAGCCTCTGTAAAAGCAAATCTTAGTAAATGTTCCAATGCTGTAAACTAATCTACACAATGGCCAGAGATGACATCAACAAACGCGGACGGGTCTGCTAGACATCGGTCATGATATGTGGTAGGTAAAAATAAGTGTCTTAGTAAAGGAGTGTTAATATCTTATCAGATTGTCATTTACATTTTAGGATGATGAGCCATTTTGAGACCGGCTATTACGATGAGTCTGTCTTGATGGGCTGCATTTGGATGCCCAAAGTTTCTCATTCCGCCCTCACGTGATACAACCCCCACTTTCCCCCCTCCCCTTTGAAGGTCAAAAAATTAGTTACACAAAGCGAACCTCCTGTTCTAATAACCAAGAACGAATATTTGTGTCTTCCTCTAAAACTCATCTGGAATATACAACTTCCCAGGTCCTTTTTAATCTGTTTGTTTTCTTTATCGACTTATTGGAATGTACCTTTGCTTACAAAATGTAGTTTCCGCCCAACCCCTCCTTTCCCCCTCCCCTCTCCTTACTTCGCAAACGCACGTTTTACGAGACCATCTTTTGTCGCTTGGATATCAACGAGTATGACACAGGAAAGCCAAGTCATAAGATTTGACACTGCAGTGGTTCCCGACAAGGAGGATTTGGAAGAGGTAGCGAGTAAATTGGTTCGGTTCGTTTCGATCTTTTCCACAAGAGCCAGGCTGATCGCGGAATTAGGCGTCTGAAGGACTGGCGATCGACATAAAGCTAGAGATTGATGAAGAACCTTCCCATCCAAGATCGTTCACAACAGCTGACGCTTCGGTCCGCTGCGTCCTTGTTTATAAGACGGGAGCGATGGGGGCTGTCAGGATAACTGGTCCTGGGGCCTTTTATAACCTTGTTACTGGGCCGAATGAGACTGGGTGGGAAATTGTTGCAGTGAAGGCAGGGCAGACCTGCATGTTTATTGGCGATCCCACCGTGCGATTCTTTCGGACTTCGCATAAATAATGTTATAGTCTAGTGCTGCCTGTGCTTCATAACATATTGCACAAACGCAGCGGCTAGAGTTTGGGAAAACTCGATTTTTGCATCCGTCTCTCTAGAAAGGTAGATGGATGGCAGTGGGTCCCCCAATACCGGACAGTCCATTTGCAGGTGCTTCTCTGGCCCTTGATACTCATGCAAGAAGTTCATCAAGTCTTTTACTTGGAAATCCAAAGGAACAGATCCGGGGCTGGGCGTCAAGACAGGATGGTAGAGGTTCCCAGGGACTTGAGGTGCAAAAGAACCTGTACAGTAGTTGCTTAGCTCATCAATTTCATCCGATAATTCTGACATACGATTACTACCTGAAGCTGAAGGCCAATTTTGTTCGACTTGAGGGGGTTTTGGGGCGTCCGACTGGGAAAGACCTAGGACAGATGGTAGTTGTTAAAATGGTAAGATCTAATGGGGATCATTGATTGAAACCTTTCAAATGTTCCTCCCCGATCCTTTCTAGTACTGTGGTTGAAAATTTCTCTTTCATGTTTGCGATTGTCCGAGGTAAACTCAATCGAATCTCTTCCTTTGTAGAGCGTATTGCATACTTGCCGAAAGCGACAACACAGAGGACCACCAAAGCATTGCCTTGTTTAGGCCCGGAAAGCTTTCTCACTTTAATAAGGAATTCTTGGAGCTTGTCTGATTGCGATGGCTGAGCAGACAAGAGTGTGAATGCTTCCGACACTTTTCTAGCCTCGTCAGACTTGAGGCGTCCTCGGAGGTCGATTAGAGACGAAAATCTTTGGAGCTTTTCCAAAGCGTCGTCTTCATGCAATCCTGGATACCGAGGGCGTCGCTTCTTTGCTCGCCTCTTTGCGGCAACTCGGGGGGAAGATGGCATCAGGAAGGTGTGAGGAAAGTGTCAGCGGAGTGCCAGGAGAGCGTCAGGAGAGTGCCAGGCGAGTGTCAGGGGAGTGCCGGAGAGTGTCAGGAGAGTGCCAGGAGTGTGTCAGGAGTGTGCCAAAAAAAGTGCCAGGAGAGTGCCAGGGAAGTGCCAGGAGGGTGCCAGGAGGAGTGCCAGGAAAGTGCCAGGGAAGTGCCAAAAAGAGTGCCAGGAGAGTGCCAGGGAAGTGCCAGGAGGGTGCCACAAGAGTGCCAGGGAAGTGCCAGGAGGGTGCCAGAGAAGTGCCAAAAAAAGTGCCAGGAGGGTGCCAGGGACGTGTCAGGAGAGTACCAGGAGAGTGCCACGAAAGTGCCAGGAGGGTGTCAGGAGGGTGTCAGGAGGGTGTCAGGAGGGGTGCCAGGAGAGTGCCAGGAGAGTGCCAAGGAAGTGCCAGGAAAGTGCCAAGGCTACTTACAAATCAAGATTCGTGCGTAGTGCGATGAACCATTGGCCAATCTACCCAGTCTCTCTGGATGATACGAATGCTCCTAGGATAGATCGCAATTCACAGAAGTAGCATTTCTCAGCCTATATTTTGTTTTGATTGGCTGGGTAATGCTAGCTGCCTATTTTTTTCCGGCGTAGAGATAATACCAAAGCTCCCGGGATGCATTTTGCTCTGCCGCGTACTGGTTTGATTGGCTACGAATGACCAGGGGTTGCTGCAGCCCAATTCACAGACTCATGCGATCTCCAAACATCCCACTGCTTCTCAGCGTCTATGTTTCCGTCGATTTGTGGTACTTCTCCTAGTTAAGGAGGGGTCCGTGTTAGGCTGAGAACATCCGCATCTTCCTGATCGTCTATGCATCTGTCGTTGCCGTCACTGGTCGATACAGATATGCAGGAGAAAATCTCGGTGATAGCATGGGCGGAGGGAAGAGTAGTGAGAGCAGCAAAATGGAGGGAAAGAAGGACGCTAACTTACATAAGCTAAGCCGTCGCGCGTAGTGAGGTGCGCCATAGTCCAATCGATGCATTCTCCGAAGACAGATACATCTTCATCCACAGATAGCCGCATTCGTCATGCTGATGTGACGAAGATTTGTTTGATCGGCTATAGTAATGCAGTCAAGGCTCAGGGGCAATGCGAAAGCTCCTAGGATATTGGTCCGCGTTGGCCGCAAAAACAGCGAGGGCGCAAGAATTAGAGTGGACAGAAGAAACAGAGGGGAATGTACGTTTACTACTAGGCGTATCTGTCATTGGTCCCTTCTTGATACCAGCCGCGCATGCAGTCAATCTCAGGATGAATACAGTATCCAAGCTCCTAGGAATCACTTCAGCCCACGGAAGCCCCCATTGTTTATGTTACGAAGTGTAATCGTTTGATTGGCAACAAAAGAGATATATCGATGTAGGTGAGGGATCAAACTCATGAAAACACCTACTTTCCAACTGTTTATCAGAGCCTATGGTTTCGTCGATGTCTTTTCGTTCTACGATCCCGGGCGGTCAATGCTACGCTAGTATCCTACATAATTGGCCGTGTTGTGGGATCAAACAAAAAGCGTGCCTGTAGATACTGCTGTGTTAATTACAATTGTGTTTGCCCGCCATAACCAAGCCTGCGTTCTGGAATTATCAATTAAAATTCATAGACATGTATCATTATACGAGACATAGTTCCCTGATCGACGCCCCTGGTTTTGTTACATGATGAGTCTAGCGTTATAGCCTACCAGCAAGCTTCTGGAATATAGACCAGAGCATTGATCCTGGAAGGATCGAGAATCAGTGCGCAACAGACCGTGGTGTGGCCCGGTCATATGCAAAGTGGCATCGGAAATGAAGTGAAATCTCGAATCCACAGCCCCATCTGAAAATACTGACTTTCTGTTCAAATGTACAGTATGGGGTCTTGTGTATGACTGCAGCATCGAAAACAATTGGATATTGTCGTGAGTCATCAGAAAATGAAACAGAAGATAGGAATATCTTTTTCCCTTGAGTCACTCGCCAGTCAGTTAGGTACATAAAGAGCCCATAACATGTGGAAGTAGTGCAGGACAACCAAAAAGCTTTAAAGCATGTGGCTTAGCTGCTGGAGCAGGCTGGAAGCATCCTTCCCTTGCCATCCGATATTCGATCTCATCGCTGGGCAGTGTTATGAGGCTTACGAAATGGTAAGTTGCTTGGCATCACCAGGTAGTCGGAAACACTGAACACGATTTCTGGCCCAAGGGTAGTGGTTCTGATGCAAGTGCAATATCTAAAACATTCAATAGGCCGTCTCCGGCAGTTATGAGGTGCCCAGTAGACCGCAACATCAGACCGTCGATGTAAAGAAAGGTAAACTCGCTATCTACCCATAAGAAGGACAATTGAATCCTGCAATAAGTTGACAAGTCAGGCAGCTTGCCTTCAGCGTCATTGACGTAACTATGGCATGTAGCTTGCTTCGTATCTTTGCAGCGACAGGGATCACTGTCGCGCGATGTGATACAATATAGGCAAGCCGCTCCTGGGAGCTGAGGCGTCCATGCTGCGAAGCTGCTGCTCTTGGGTCCAAAATTCGTATGGATTTAGGGTTTCCTGATCTGTATTACGAGTCCGATTATACTAACACGCAGTAGGGTATCTATTCCTGGACATCTGAGGTGGACGTTCAGGGGCCCAAGAGCGGTGCTCACGCTATCCCCTTTATCGACTTCGACTTCAGGAATGCGATAGTCATTTATGCCTCATTCTCATTACTACACAACCTGCCCAACAGCTCCATCGGCTGACCAATCGCATTCTTAATGGCTCCACTTATTCTGCCAACAATTGCCCATTCTAGCGCCTTTTGGTGTAGAACCAGATACGGTGGATCTTCCGCGGGAGTAGGTAACCGCGATATTCATGGTTCTTCGCGCCGGAGGCAATATTGCTCATGTGCTCGGGTTTGATGCTCATCAAGATATCTGAGCTCGATTTTGCCATTGTGGAAATGGGCGTGGGTTATCCGAATCAGGGGTATCGGATGATCTCTTTGTGGAATGAGGAAAGCGTAGCAAATGAAAAGCTCAAAGGTTTGGTTTTCAAGGTGCGAAGCGGTGAGGAGTGTCCGAATATTGCAGCAGTAGTTGGTAGTTCTCTGATAGGCGCCCCTTGTTTCATTACATATTCTTTCAATCAGGGGATGTCATAATGCCTTGTGGGGCAGCTTAAGATTCTATCCAATGGCCTTGCTTTGCGCCACCGCTGGACCAATCGAGTACTAAACCCATTTCCCAAAACATAGGGTATATTCGTTTCGGGAATACGTATGAAAACGTAGCATACAATACTCGCATTTGCCTCTTGAGTGTGTGCATGCAAGCCTGAGCTTAGGCGAAGCCTCGGAGGTTTGGCCCCAAATTCCGGACTCCAGGACTATGCAAGATCCTAACATGCTTCAGGATCCAGTACAAGACCAATCAATGCGCTTAGAAAGATACGGCGGCTAGGTTAGGTTTAGGATTCAGTCTGTCCAGAAAACTGTCCATTGATTGAGGCTTTCTCTTGCCCGGTCAGCGTCAGTTACAGCCCGAGGCCGACTGCCAACCCTCAAAGACGTGGATATTGTCGTCGAGCCAGGGACAACAGTTGCACTCGTTGGAAGGACAGGCTCTGGAAAGACAACAATCCACAGGCTCCTTCTCCGACTCTATGACGTGGCCTCTGGCAGGATCGAAATCGACGGCCGAGACATTCGAGACATACTGTAACCCTTAGCTCGTTACGAGAAAGCATCGGCGTCGTCCCGCAAGACCCCGTCCTATTCAACCCTTCCATACTTGAGAATCTGCGGTACGCTCGACCACCAGCTACAGATGAGGAGATCCAAGATACATGTCGCGCTGCAGCTATCCACGAGAAGATCTTGACTTTTGTAGATGCGTACAACACTACGGTTGGAGAAAACGGTGTCAAGCTATCTGGTGGAGAATTGCAGCGAATAGCCATTGCTCGAGTCTTCTTGAAGAAGTCACCAGTTCTTCTCTTGGATGAGGCTACTAGTGCTGTGGATTCGGAGACTGAGTCTGAGATTCAGGCTGCTCTTGACCGCTTGAGAGCAAGACGAACTACCTTTGTTATTGCCCATCGGCTTTCGACTGTTGTTGGCGCGGATATGATTCTTGTTTTACAGGAGGGAGAGATTGTAGAAAGTGGTTCACACCAGGGGCTGGTCAATAAGGGTGGAAGATATCAGACTATTTGGGAAAATCAGATTGGTGGTGGCAAAATCAATAAAGCACTATAGGCAAGAGAAAAGAAATTGAGGGCAAATTCACGGAGGGTGTATCTATACTTGGCTGACAATGGCTAATTAAAATTGGCATATTCTTCAAATGGGATCCATAGATATCAAGAGAAAAGGGACGTAGCGGTATACAACTGTTTGCTTGAGAACAAGCAACGTGTGACATGGTGTTCGCTCCTTTCTGTGCAGCGCTCACCATTAGAACTTGACCTGGATTTTCTTAACCAGATAGCGGAAAGTCGGTCAATACACAAGTCTCATTTTGACCTGAGACCGAGCAAATAAAGGGGCAGAAGAATCTCGCAACATTAGTACGGGTCGGTCTGGCGCTAAGGCAGAAGTATCACTCGCAACCTGCAATTGATCTGCATCAATGAGGCGTCTGCCTGAATCCCCAAGACAAAGTCAAAATGCCTAAACCCTGTCCAGACGAGGGCAGCCGAACGCCGCCTATAGAAAGCTCCACTTGGGCATACCGTGTGACCAGGCTGTGTTTGTAGTGCGGGCCCCAATCCCGTCGTAAATAGCCCTGTAGCTACCACCATCCTGGCAGTGACAGGTCCAAGCAAGCTCAAGTTGGAAAGTAAAACCGAGTTTGCTGATATGAAATAATTGGAGAATCTTGAAAGGTTACTCGGCAATATCATAGCCAGTTGTACCGATATCTATGCAAGGGTCTGAAATTAGTACAATGTCCTCCGGAATGTCTTGTAAGTACGTTACCGATCCTTAGAGTATCCAATTGGCATGGCCACTGAAACCACCTTGTCACACGTAAGAACTAGTTAATGTAGATGGTGGGCTAGGCGAATTACCAAAACTCAATCTAATTGGGCGTTTGCAATGGGCTAGAATACGGGGCTTGAGTCCAGATGACGACTCCTAGGAAAAGCATCCCGGTCAAAGTGGAAATTCTACTCCGTTATCTCGCTTGTGGCACAAATGACTAGGGTGAACAGGTATACTCCCGCGGCGGACTCAATCGTTGCCTAGATGCATTTCTGACACCCGGGCGAAGTGGTGGCGCATCCACGGGAACTATTCACCTAGAGCAGCGGTATATAACCTGCTTCCGGTCTCAGCGAGTTCTAAATTACAGTATTTATAAAGAGTTTCGCTCAATCACTCTCCCAGTCCAACCAAATGTCAGCCAATTCGGGTGATCTCGAATCATGCCGCAGTCAAGAAACACGCTCCACTGCTACCGCCCCCTACGAGCCACCGCAAACTTCCCCCAGCAAAGCCATCTTTCTCCATCAAGCGGACCCGTTTTTGAAGCGTACAAATTCTACAGGGCAGGAAAGGAGGCACCCTGGGCATGCGCAGAGCGAACCGAGCTATACATGAAACAAGAACAGCTCTGCAAACTGACCCATTCGCGTGCAGAAGAATTTGAGGTTGAATGGCAGTACCAAAAACTGAGCCCCAACCAGCGTGCTCAAGTCGACCGGCTCGTCCAAGACCGACGAGCAGAATGTCCCGGGATGATATGGAGCTACGTCTATGCTAAAGAAAATTCTTATGCAAAAGTGACTCGAAACCCTCGTCCAGATGATTCCGAAACAACTTCCATGGTGATTATTCTCATGAGGAGACCCATGGAACCAACAAAGTACCCCATAACGCACATGGGAGTTTATGTGGACATCAGTGAGCTTCGTTACCGCCATGAGGGTTCGAGGAATCATTCTATATCTCCCAGTGTAACGCCCCAGTGGAGGCATTCAGGAATAGGCCCGGCTGGATATTATGGAGCCCAAGGGCCGCATTCTGCCCCAAGGCCAGTGGGACGGTACCCGAGCCGGGGATCGGATTCCGGTCGGGTGGTGGCATCGGTGTGCTCGGCTGGACTTGACTCGGGTCTGCTGCCGGTATATGACGAGTGAGCTGTTCCTTGTACCCTCTTCCTTCAATTGCCATATTTGCTCGCCAGGAGTGGTCGAAGGGACTACTCACAACTAGCTCAGTTCTAAATGCTAATTTTGCGGTTCCCAGTGGGCATTTTAGCAGGGACGGGGTATTGTCATCTGGCCGCCACCATGATCCACCGTTTGCTCAGCCTGGCGGTGCATTACTTGTCACTGGCAGTTTTAAAGCGCCACCACAGCTTCCTGGGCCACACCAGCAGTCGTCCACCAGCCAGAGCTCTCGCCATTCAAACTCACCGCACTATCCACCCGGCTCAAATGGACTAAGCCAGAAGAGAGCGCGGTCCGGAAATCCTGACTTTGAGTTTACTTCCGCATCGTGTGGGCGAAATGGAGAATTTAGAGCACCAATTCCGAAGAGAATGTGCCTGCTCCAAGGGATCTATCAAGACCATGGCATTCAAAGTCAGGAGACGAAGTATCGTACTTCCTGAGCAGCACGATCCTAAGTACCACCCTGGACAATTCAACTTTGGCTCTGTGAAAGCAAGCCGACTTGAATCTCACAGTGCTAGTTGGATTTCTTTTTCTTTGAAGTAGGGTAATTGGAATAGCTGGGCAATGATTGGAATAAGTATTATATTGAGGGACTATAGATAATAGGGAGCGGAAACAATTTCATGTACAGCATTCGAAAGAAAAATGCTTTCAATGGTCACGCATTGATACTATAGTTCCAGTCTTCGTACAAGCTCTCTCTTCCTGCATTGCGCGATAGCTTCATGGAATAGATGCAACTTGTAAGGCAAGTATTGAGGGTTTATCTCACATTCACACCCACAAGGTCCATCGAGAGGTGCCCAATAAACCCTCCGCATTTAGTAGGTGACTCATTTCTGGGTTGCCGAAAAATTTCTGACGACAGTAGAATGAGCCAATCCAAGGTCTTCCTGTCACTTTCCTCTATATAGTCCCTGATTAATTTCCAAAAAAGGCGTGCGTACAATGCGAACAGGGGTAAGACTTCGATTCCCGAGCTATGAGAAATTATTCTTGCCAGTGGCCCTCGACAAACACCGACCTCAATTGACACCTTTGGCCCTGTGCAATAGATTCTGTGCAAGCGAGTATGTGAACAACGAATTAGTTCAAATATCACAAGGTCTTGCCCTTTTGCGGGTTCGTTAGCTTATTGTTCGATAGATCGATCTCACGATCCGTGAGACGGATTGCTAATCACTACGATCTCTCAATTCATTCCTAGTAGTATATTCTGGCGGCTGTGCGACGTACCGTACTGAATTCTCGAGGCTTGAGCATCATAGACCCAATTCCACTGAAGAGCCACTAATAATCAATCATTCCCCCCCCCCCCTCCCCAACCCCAAGCCCACCCACCCCAGTTCCCCCTTTTAATGCGAAGATAGACCATGGATATTTAACGCCGTGTATATCGAGCCACGCCGGATATGGAGGGAGACAAGTCTACAAAGGGGCGGGACCGGGATCTAAACCGCCAAGCCAAGTGCATGCACTGTCTGCGAGTTGGAGATACTTGGAGGCTCTGTTTAAAAGGAAAGCTGCTAATACTTATGACGAAGCTAGAATCAATTCATTTAAGCTCTTCAAGATTCGTCTGTTTACATTTCCTTCTGTTTTAGAAGCGCTTTGCCTTCTCCGTGAGGGGTGTCATTCTCAAACGAGCAGCTTCCTGTTCTTATATATTAGAAAAAAGTTCAAGGACTGTCCAGTTGTTCGATATAGGACTCACCATCGCAGTTTTCAATCCAATGCCAAGACACCATTAAGGTGGTACCATGTTCGATATTCTTACCGATCATTTTCAGAGGCTGGTTAATGCGACCACCCGCTATTATGCCGCGGATTGAACCCAACTGCTCGATATTCGAGATATGAAATCGGTCGACGTTCTTGGAGGCTTCTTCTCGGGTATAGCAAAGCGCCCGCATGAGCCAGGGAAGTCGTAGATCATTGGGTGTCCTTGACAAAGCGTAAGGCCCTTTCATCTGATTCATTGGAATGGCATAGTCTCTGAAGATCAGAGATACTTCTGGAGATGAGTTCCGACGAGATGACACTATGGCCATACTGACAGAAAAGACACAAACAAGGACTGCAAAAATGAGATGCTTGGCAATTTTTTATTAGGCATTAGAGGTGACGGACGTGATTCGGAGAAAGAAGCAGGTGAAACACTTTAAGAACGAACTGTTTCCTCGTTCTTGGATCTCCAAAGACCATGTGTTTGGCCTGTCACTTAAATTTGGAGTCGGATGGCCCTTCCTGGACATGCTCGGTATCATGGGTCTGATCGGTTTGGAGCCGTTGTATTGGTCGGGAAGCAGCAAGCCAATTATAGCACTGCTCCTGAGTTACAAGCACCAAAATCCGACGTCTGGTTGACCCAGTCGGCTTCCAGGAACAGGACGCTAAAGGGCTGTGTTGAGATCCGATCACTGGACATCGACAATTTGGCCGTCTTATGCCTAGCCCCTTGTCCTGCAACGGAACTAAGCACGCTACGCGCTATGATCTGGCGAATGAGACTGAAGGCGAACCATAACAAACATATTCAATGGTCTTGTAAATGCCTACTAGTAACACATTGGCCTGGAGTATCAATTGAGGTTATGATTTGCTTACCTGTCATTGATTCCTGGGAGCGACGGGCTCAAGCAAGTTCGAGTTCGAAGCATACCGTAGAGGGTGATACGAAATAAGTGGTTATTTCAGAAAAGGTACGTCGGGCAATACCATACCTAGCAACCGATGTTATGCAAAGGTCCATGACTAGTACACTTTTTCTTCCGCCCGAATCCCTTGCTAGTCCCCTGCCGATCCTGAGAGTATCCTCTTGGCCTAGCCACTAATTCCACCTTAGGATGTAAGGACTAATTAGATTTGATGTTTGGCTACGCAAAAGTTTATCGATCCTCAATCGAATTGGGCATTTGCTATGGGCTTGAATACAGGCTCGGGTTCAGATGTTGATTTCTAGGGCATAGACCGGTCATAGAAGTTGGGCCTCGTTATCCTGCTTGTGACGCAAAAAACTAGGGTGCACAAGCATGCCTCGCGTGGCGGACTTGATCGCTGCCTAGACGCAGTGAAGCGGTGATGTTCCTGCGAACCGTATTACGCAGCTTGTCGGTGCCGGCGTGGTCAGTTGGATGCACTGGTCGAGATATCGAGCCCCATACAGCCAGGCTTTCAGCCATTTGATTGCCCTGGAGCGCCATTTTCCTCGCACTGGTCTGGAATTCTGGTCACATGCGCTGCAACAAAGTTGACTGGTCTGCCCGTGGGCCACAGAGACTCTCAGTGGCGAGTTGTCCCGCACAATTTCCGCGCGTACCTCAGCTCTAGTGCAGCCACCATGCGGTGAGAGTAGCTCGTTTTGACCAGGAAACAAATAGATCTACAGTGACTAAGAGTCGCCTTCCTACTGGTTGGAAAGCTAGTGCCTTCAGTTCACCAAATTTGGCTAGGTCCTCACGGACGAAAGCTCAACAGCCCCATTTCTTACAGTGCGGGATTAAAGACGCTCGTTCGTCTCTTGTGGAAACATAACCACCCTGAGGTGGATGGCCAGATGCCCAATAAAGGTGCTAATATTATCTTTAACCCGTGAAGTGACAAACAGGTCCGTAAATGCCCTAGCGGTCATCCACAGTGGCGCCCAGTGTCCGAGGATCAGAATCTTAGCTGTGCTGTATACCAACTCGAAGGATGCGAACGGATCCACATTGAGCCGGATCCCTCTGTTTGTCCCCAAGCCTTGGATGTGATCCACCCGCAGCAGCAGTGATAACAACGCCGCTACTAGTCACTAATATGCCGCTGCCTATTCAATCACCACGCCTAATTAAAGTGAACCGTGCACTCACACACAATCGCACAGTACTTGAAAAGATGTTTTCCTTCGGGGGAAGAATGTACTTCCCATCATTTTTTGGCTCACTTGCTGAAATTCATCTTGTTGTTTTCAAACCAGGTCGTGGTTTGCCAAACAATTTGCAGCTTGGAGTGTTCAGGGGCAGTCGAAAGCGGAACGTAAGCAAAGCATTATACTCTCTTTCATATTGCTTCCTGCTAACTGATAAGAGTCGAGGATCCATCCTACACTGAAGTGGCTATAGTGAATTATTCCCTTTTGGAATATCAAATTGAAATCATGGAGCCCGAAACTGAGAGGGACCACTGGCGGGATATGTTAAAGAAGCCGACCAAGACAACAGACAACGCGGAAGAGCACAGACTGATTGTGATATCCATCATATCCAAGTATGGTAAAGAACATTCTTCGAGTCTGCGCGCCATGGACCAGCTTGCAAAGGTGTACTGGGGCGAGGATATGCGAGATGACGCTATTGAGGTTCAACGGGAAGCTCTCGACTGGCGCGAAGAGGTAGATGGGCCTCTGGACACTTTCAATCTTTCCTCCATGGATACCTTAGCCTTCATGTACTTTGAAAAAGGCCAATACCAAGAGGCTGAGAAGGTCCTCCTTCAAAGTATGGAGTTACGAGAACAGGCTGCTCATTGTGACTCTTCTAGGAGGTTCTTGGCCAAAATTCTGCTTCAGAAGACATATGAAAAACAAGACAAGAAAAACGATGCTCTGAGGGCCTTGTGGGAAATCTTGGAGACTCTTTCGAACGCAGCGGGTATGGAAGGCAAGAGAGAGGACGCTCTGGGAAATATTTGGGTACTTTTGAAGTCGCTTTCCAGAGCAACTGGTGCGCAGTTTACACTTTGATTAGCAAAACACGTCTTGTTACTTTGTATATCCTCCGTTTCATTTCGCGATCTGGAAGGAGACCGAATAGCCATTTCAATGTCCCCATACTTCATGGTCCATGTATTGTTTCCGCACAACTCATCAAAGGTTGCTCTAGCTTTTATTTCTCTCCTATCACTATTTTGTTCAGTACTTCATTTGTCGGAACGAAAAATTTCTGTCCCTAGTGATTTTAAGCATTCATGAAGAGGTTTGCCGAGTCTTTTTTTGGGGCCGAAGAATAAACATCCAGTGAGACACTGCCGTGTTGACTGCCAGTTGCAGGTGGTAGAACGACGAAAAAGGGAAAACACAAGATGGCCATTTCATACTTGAAAGGGGACGGAAACGCTTCACCATATTTTCATCAACAAGGCGAACCTCCAAATCGGCGATGTGGACATGCAGGCCGTCAGACAAAATGTGGAAGAGATGAGTTTGATTGCGTTCCTCGGGGATACTGGATTACAAAATATAGAGGTAAAGACTGTGTCCCATATTCATATAATCAAAATTTTCGTGTCCCTTGAAAGGTGTTCGAGTAAATCCTCCGCATTTAGTAGATGACTCATTTCTGAGTTGCCGAAAAATTTCTGACGACAGTAGGAAATGAGCCAATCCAAGTTTTTCCTGTCACCTTCATCTATACGGCCTCTGATTAAATTCCAAAATAGCGTGCGTACAGTGGGAAGAGGGGGAGAAAACATTGACTCCCGAGCTATGAGAAATCATTCTTGCCAGTGGCCCTCGACAAAATGCAAACACAGACCTCCATTGATCTGGACATTTGTCACCTGGTTCCAATTTTGGGCCTTTGACAACGATTCTGTGAAAATAAGTAAGGAGCTTAGCTCATAGATGTGCGGTCTTACACTTTGGCGGGTTCGTCGTCCGGCACTATGCCGCAACTGTTCCATATCAAGTTAGAAATATAGTTGGTAATATTGGAGATCGTTCACCGTACGTACCCTGTTGTGCTAGCTACTAGTAAAATAGAGCCCGGTCTGAGACTCGTGAAGATTGTATGGGATAGAACAACGTTGTGAATTGTGAGGCATCGTTCGACCCTGTCTATGTCAGAATTGAGCGGCGTTGAAATCGCTGCTGAGCTTACGCGCTGCCACCATTTGCAAAGAACAAGTATACCACAGGGTCGGTAGTGTTCAACTTTTTGTCATCAAGGCTGATGCAAGCTCCAGCAATTGGCTGTAACAGAGGCTTTGCCCTGGACTGCAAAAAGGAAGAGTTCATCATTGGCCCATAATCATGTAAAGGTGAGCTCGAAAAGTTCTTGCCCAGAGTCCTTTATATCATTTGTTGCGTCAACCAACGGGACAAGCAAAAGCAAACAAAATCGAGAAATGACGATGATAATGGCTTTTAGCTATACAAGGTCCGAGGTCAGACCAATGGGCTTTCGCGGTGCTAAACACCCTTGTGCTTTCGATGCGCTCGATAAACTTCAACGCACACCGTTAGTAACTTGGAGATCACCGTGCTCGGAAAAACCAGATGCCGATTTCCTAAATATCATCGCTAGCCGCAGTAAGTTATTTTAGACCGTAAAAATCTTAAAAGTCTGCGGAGTGGCGCTGCGTCCTGCATGTTGCGATCCCCGTGATACCCGTATGGGTAGAAATGTACGCTAAAAGTCGCGGAATTCCACCTCCTTGCTTCCTCTTGTGGAGCTTGTAAAAGCAGGCTAACTGGGTTGGAGCATCATGCAAAAACGGTGTCCAATCGCCGTCGATCAAAACGGAGATGTCTTCGCATTACTGGTACCGTTATAAGTTTACCGGTGGTGATACCGACAAGTGACCAATCAACTTTTTTGGACGCGGAACTATTGAATGCACACTCCCTCCTATCCCTAACAATTTACTGCAAGTAAACTAGCTCCAGCTGACTCGTTTTCCACCCTGTCGACTCGCTTTCCACCCTGTCGACTCGCTTTCCACCCTGTCGACTCGCTTTCCACCCTGTCGACTCGCTTTCCACCCTGTCGACTCGCTTTCCACCCTGTCGACTCGCTTTCCACCCTGTCGACTCGCTTTCCACCCTGTCGACTCGCTGTCTGTCCGGTTCGCTCTATGGCGGCAGTGGAGGTTTTACTTACTGTACATGGAAGTCATAAACGGTGGACAAGCGGCTACGAGGGAATTGATGATCTCACCTTACGGCGACTGCTAGTGGAGATCAATTTCGCCTCAAGATCTATCGAGTTTGAACTTTCGGCGCGAGAAATTGAACTAAGCCCGGAGAAGGCCACCGAGAGCACCTCGGATGGCACACTGGTCAAGCCACCTTATCTGAAGTCCCAAAAAGCAAAAGAAACAATTAAACGTCGTGCAGGCGAACTAAAGAGGATTTATGAGAAAATCCAGAACACGGCTGCTAAGATCAAGAAGAATGGGCTGTCTGATTACACCGTTTTTCCTGGATCCCAAAGAGCGCAGCTGTTCATCACGACTCTTCGTGACATGATGGAGAATGCTGTTATCCCAAGCCATGATAACTGGGTTTCGAATACGCACAGTGCCATGCTATGGTTGGTATTAAAGTGTGCCGGACCTGCTCCTATGCTCCTGCTTCTCCATAGTATCTCTCAACGCCAATTTCGAAAGCTTAACGTTCATGCAGCTGCGAGAATTGTTCAGCACGTGGTACAAAATCGAAACAAGTTATTTTGCGCACCCCTTGAAGAGCAATTTCGCGATCTTTCGTCTGGTAAGCCTTCTAATTGTTGTCTTCGGTAGATTTGCTAAATATAGCAGAGCTTGCTCGATGCCAAAGAAAGCGAAAAAGAGCCGACTCCAACGTAGGTTGCATGTGCAAAATAGAATCACACCATGCCCACATTTGCCGGTGCTAGTCTTGTTTTACGGTCGCTAATACTGTTATTTGAGAAGCTTCACAGTGAATTCGATGGTAAGCACACAACAGTTGACTCGTGGGTAGCTTAATTCCCTTGAAGTTGACGCTAAAAACCCGTGTCAATCTCCAACAACAGTGCCATTTGTACAGCATATAAACAGCTCTCATGAAGAGAGACGAAGCTTTCCCCCTAGGTACAAAGAAAATGAAGTACATGAAAGTCCAACGGTAGAGGACGAGAATGGCTTGGAAGAAAACAATCACCTGGGTCTGACCTGCTCACAAGAGTCGAATAACATTCATGGGGCGTTCGAACCTCAGAAGGGCATGGTAGTTGCTACAACATGTGATACGACATCCGCCATGCTACGGCCCAATACCCTCCAAGTGGGCAACGACAACTACCAGCTCCACGGGTTGCACGACCAATCACAGCTAAACCCTTCATCGGTCTACGTCTCAGAATCAGCCAGATCTCCACTTTTCGCTTTCCCATGTGGTCAGTACGCCATTATCACTTCGTACCAAGCGTATTTGACAAAGCCAGATTTAGGAGCCACTTTCTCTACAGGTATCTCGATTGAGGATACTTTTAACCGAAATTCCACGTTAATTTACGAGAGGCCATATGAATCGGCAATATTTGCCGTAGTACAAGACGGAGATATACCTTCACTTATGGCTCTCCTGGGAAACGGGAACGCATCGATTCATGATGTAGACCCCTATGGTCTTGGCCTGCTCTACGTGAGACTTTTTATTCCTTGCTTTTGAGTATTTAATTTGTTGCTAACAAAATAATCAGTATGCGTCATATTACTGCTGGAAAGCCCACGGCGCTGGCAGAGCCATGCAGGTTTGCTCCTGGTTGGTTTCTATTGGGGTAAATACTCAGTGGATTGACGACATTGGAAAGTAGGTTTAATTCCTCCCGGCGATCCTAGCACGACTAATCTGACCCTGTTTTTGTAGTACTCCGATGGAATCAATGCTTGATTCTGCCTTGATATGCACCGCAATGTCAGGTGGTTCCGCGCTAGAATTTGGCAAATTTTGTGAGGATATTGGGGTTCTCTTTAATTTGACCCTTAGCGAAAGTGGGACGCAGTATTTGAATACTCGGGGGTTTACAGAACTTCACCAAGTTCTACTGCGTATAAACCAGAAAGTGTCCCTGGAGGACTATCTTCGCTCATTGAAACGAGATGATCTCGATCTCCTCATAAATCGCACTGATACTCGTGGCAGAACACCGCTCATGTGGGCAGTCGAGTTTGGCTGGTCTGCTGCAACGCAGATCCTACTGGGCTATGGTGCTGATCCCCATCGAGCCACTACCACTAAGCGAGGAAGCTCTACTTTACTGCACCTTGCAGTTGCTGGACCAAGGTCGCAGTTCTCGAGAGCGGGTTTTTTAGAGGTCATTGACCATTTGCTTCAAATGGGAGTGGATGTCAATGCTAAGGATCATGAAGGATGGACGCCACTCCACATTGCAGCGTCATGGGGAACATGCGATCTCCAAAACCTCTTCAGCCACCCTGCCTTGGACTGGAGCGTTCTTACCGATGATAACATGTCTGTGGATGCTTTGTCTCCAGTCGAGCAATTCTCCAATGTTGCACTAGCTAGAATTTACCAGAGCTAGCAGACTGAAGCTTCCCTCGGGGCAGCTATTCATATACATTTTGAGAATATTGCAGCCCTTTTCTGACAATGTGTCTTCATCATCTTCCACATTACCTCGGTATATTGGCCCGCTTCTGTCTCCGTCCAATTCGTAGAGACAACCTAAACGCCTGACCAGGCATATATAATGATGGTCGATTTCAGTCTCAGCAGCAGGAGGCTCTGAAGAGCCACTCAGAGCGGCATTGCGATAGATTGAATCCAGCTCAGGTGAATTTTGCAGATAATCGGCGCGGTCGGCTGATCTTCTCTTCATAAGACCATCAATGAAGGAGCCTAGATCTATTCACTTCAGTTGATATTATATGCCACGCGGGGTGAAGCAGAATGTCCTACCAATTTCCTTGGTGTCCAAAGTATTGCAAACGCAATGCAATATGGCATAAAGACCGCAGGCATTGTTTATAGTCTGTTTCAGCCAGATAATGCGTTCTTTGGAGATGCTATGTTCGATTCTCTGCTCTGCATATGCAGGACAGTCTGGCAGGATAAGGATTAGGGCTTCGACAGGACTTTGGGTATTAAAACGAATTTCATCCAATTGATCTGCTTCCAGAGACCAAATATCAATGAATTTGTAAAAGTTAGGAACACCCATGTTATGCATCAAACTCGTGAATATTTGAGGATCGGACTCCAGAGGAATGAAGTGTTTCTCGTACTCCATTTCAAGTCGCTGGAACTCGGTCGTGCAATATCAATCTTGATAAGACTCGTTGCAAGTCTTGCCGTTGGAATGATCGTTATTTGAATATCAGGTGGTTAGGCGGGGTAAAGGGTTGAGTTGCACCACAAGGAAACGTACACCTAACTAATAACGCGTATATCACGTGATGTATTGTTGGATAAGTTAACGTATTTCACATGCGAGCGGCCCACCCAAGCGAGCGGCCCAGCTCAAAACGCCATACTAAATGGGATAAATCACAGCTTGATATCTCAACAACGGTGGTATGTAGGTCCTTCGCATCATAGCCTAATGCTTTTCATATGATATTTAGTCTATTTTAGGGACTTTGGAGAATTTCTTGGACTTAGTGGTTAAGATATATATCTTTCTGGCTCCCAGCAACGTAAATTTCGATATAATGATATTGCAGCCTATCAATTTCCTTGAAGCTGACATATAGCATTTAAAAGTCTTATCAAGAGCTATCGACAAGCAATAAGGTAAAACGAAAACGTGGTTGTTAAGATATCAAGTTGTAATTTATCCCATTTCGTACGGTGTTTTGAGCTGGGCCGCTCGCTTGGGTGGGCCGCTCGCATGAGAATTACACACGAGAAGCTAATACTAACCCCTTTTTTAGCTAGAAGTCGATAGAATAAATATTTTTAAAGTTAGTTGCCAACATGGCTTGCCAGGCCAGCCCAAGTGGTTGCCTTACAGCTAAGGCAGCCAGCATGGCTTGGTGCCCTGCCAAGCGCCAGGGATCACATAACAGCCATGAAAAACTTAACGAGGCCATATTGAGCGGATATAGTTCTCGATTTATTACTATCCTATTGGAAAGGCTATTTAACATACTCCCTGTTTATACCGAAGCCTCTAAATAAAGAATATCGGCCCATACGAGGTTTACCTCAGATCTCGCTCGCGGGGCAATGGATCATGAGCCAGGGGCGGCTAGATATCCGCATCCACATCGGAGTGGTTTTGGCCGGAACTCCTCATGAGTAACATTGGTCGAGTAACAAGGGAAGAAAATGTTCGACAAGAAAAACCAACAAAACTTATGACGTCAAGCAACTAGCCCGTTCGTCGTGCCTTCGCTCTTAGCTGAGGAGGGGACAAGCGATTTTCGAACTGAACGTGCAAGAAGTCAATCTTTTGTTGACCTCCATCGATCCCCGCGGGCTAAAATATCCTTGGTTTATTCAGACAGCCAATTTTGCCCAGAGGAAAGTTCCTGAGGGTTGAAATTGCCACAGAATTTCGGTGTCAATTTTTGTTGGTCATTATCAGGTGCGCTTCATGGCAGCGAAAGCGGAGACCCAATGGGGCGCATTGCCTTGAAGAGGTTGAGGAGCATTTTGTAGGCATAAGAATTGAGTGTAGAAAGCTATTCAATTGATGTTGGCTTTCCAGGATGCATTCAAGTCCTACAGCCGGAAGAAGCATGGTCGAAGAAGTAAGGGCCAGAGGCAAAAGGATGCCTATAAGTCAGAGTGGAATGATACAGACTGGCAAGCGAGGCTGATTATCGTTGCATGGCCGATAGTCGTTCTCCGCACTCTTGTTGTCCAATTTGAGCGGCCCTTTATTCCAAACAAGTGTCCAGTAGCCAATGCACCGCTAGGTTGGCTCCCTTGCCTCCTTCGCGGATCGGGGACAGGCCCATTGAGGGCCAGTAAGAATTCTGATCGCAGTTTCTTCGATGGTTCGTTGTAGTCGCAGTTTCATCAAGAATTCAAATGTCAAGGGCCGCAGTGGAGATGCTCTTAAAGGCACTACTGATCAATATCACCGCACGGTTTTGTAGCTTTACGAATTCATTAACCAGCCTCGCCATTCCCATGCTGGCAATGCACGCGCTGCCGGGCGGTACCAAGCCGATATACCCAATAGAGCTTGCGGTATCACGACAGCTTGATAGATCTTACGCATGGACATCAGTGATACGCCCCGCGGCCTACTGGTCAGCTCTTCCGAGAGCTATTTCAATAAGCCAGACGTTTTCTTCATAGCTGTCTCAAAATGCAGACATCGTCCACCCATCCAAAAGCTTCGGCTTGGCGGTAGCCCGGAAGGGGGAGCAGTCCTTGACTAATGGTGCATTCAATAGCAAGAAACGGATAGGTGAAATCGGAGAACCCTGCGGAATTCCAGTTAGAGTGGGAATACATCACGTATACTCGTACTTCGGCCATAGAAAGACCCGAGTCCATGGAGCCAGTTCACCCAGCCTCATTTGCCGCATATTATTGAGGAGACGCTCACGAGAGACATTGTCGTAAGCGCCAGCTACGTCGACAAACAGCATGCTTACTTTTGACCCTGCTCCCATGCGGTGTGTACGCGATCGTGCATCAATTGGTCTGCATGGTCCACGGAGACGCCCTTCCTGCCACTGAGGTGAGTATCAGGCAGTGTCCTCAACAGCCCAGGCAATCCAAGTAGCAATGATTTTTTCTAGGATCTTCCCGAGCGTATAAGTAGCGCGACCGGTCTGTACGGCATTGGCAAGCGGTAGTCTCCTGGTCCAGCTGTCCTCAACGTTACCGTTTTTAAGATTTGAGAATGGCGGGACTTGTGGTCGATTCGTAGACATGCGTTGAATATGTCGAATACCGTGGAAATGAAGACCCGCTGGGATGTTGATCCAACCGCAAGCAACTTCCACACCATATTTGGGAATGCCGTCCGCCCCAGGGGCCTTATTCGGAGGTACGTGTCTCATTGCATTGCTCATTGCATCGGCCAATCCCTGCTCGGTAATAGGCGGGAATAGGATCTGGTTATCACGCTGAACCCCAGTGACATTTGGGAGATCAGCTGTTGGCAGGGCTAGGAAGAAGACATTTCGCAATGCTGCCACTTCTTTTCGGTCGATTCAGCAATGCCCTTTCCCGTAGTTAACGGTGGCAAGGCACTATGCGGTTCTTGACCTCGATTACTTACCCATTGAACCATACGCCAGAGACCCTGAAGTCCTTTGCTGATAGCTTCCTTGACGAATTCACGGAAGCCGGTCCATAGCGCTTTCTTGATCACTCGACCCTTCCGGTTCCTGGCAGACTTGTATTCCTCCCAGTCATCCTCGTCGTTGGTGATTGTGTATCTCCGAAACAGGCGTCTTGTTGTTTTGATAGACTGTTTGCACTCGTCCGTGAACGAGTGATTGGCCCTTTGGTTTAGCTTGACCCATGGCGTGGATTCTTGGACGGCTCAATTGATGATTTCTGTGAAATTCTCCACCGCCTCATCGGTCTGCCGGGGAGTTGAGAGCTGCCAGGTCTTGCCTTGGAGGTTGCTGGCCACGAATCTGTCGAATTTGCCGGTTTCCATGGCCTTCCAGTTGCGCCGTTTGGGTTGGTCGGTGGTAGTAGTGGTTCGAATGTCGAATATTATACGAATCGGTAGATGGTATGAGTGGGCAAGGCATTCGTGGGAAATCTCCGATGCGAGGAATCGTTCTGATAAATGGTGAGATTCAAAGAATAGGTCGATAGTAGTCTGATGGCCTGCCTCGTCTCTTGTGATAGTGCCAGGGGCCATCCAGAGATCCGGATCGACTGAATTGGTGAGCTCAATAAGAGTATCAGCATTGGAATCCTGTACAGCTTCATCTCCACCCCACGCCGGATGGTGGAGGTTGAAGTCTCCAACAATGATGCTGGACCGCGTATATTTTGGCCGAAAACATCCTCGAGCGGTGGACAGAATATTGGAGAATTTCGAGGGTCCCCTTATTCATTTGAGTCCGTATTTGTGATAGGTCCGTTGGTATTGGCATCGCTGGCGTCAGTGATGCTCCTTAGGCTGCTTAGCTCAGAGAAGCTAATATCGACCCCAAAGCTCTCTCCGCTGTTGCCAGAGGCGACTGGTCTCGTGGCTTTCTTCGCCAACGATCCGTTGCTGTCTCTCTCGGCAAGAGCTGATGATGATGATGGCGGTGGGTTCCAAAAGACCTCCGAGTCCTCCGTCGTCGTGGTCTTTCGCTTCTTCCCCATACCCGTCGTTCTATGTGCCCTGTCGGTCGGGGCTATTGCTGATGATGCGAAGCCGCCGCCCTGCTTCTCGTTCGCAGGCTCCGATCGAGGTGCTCGGAGGTTTAGAGGTGCATGTTTCGACTGGTAAATGCCAGCCTGGCTAGCTAGATTGCCGAGCACCATGTTGAGGTCGAGACCCATTAGGAAGTCGTTGGTATTCTTGGTCTGCGTGTTGTCTGGTGTTCTCGCTGAAAGGTCGGTTGGTTGGCTGGCATTGTCTCCTCCGATACCCACGAAGACTTCCTCAAATACTCGGCAACTTGAGCTAACGAGAAACCCACCAATAGCGCCTTGACTGGTCTGTGCGGCACTGCCACGGGAGGGTATATTCACCCCTTCATACGCACGTCATCACCATCGAATGCGATAATGAAAGCCATGGGACTGATCACCCCCGATGACGCTAGTTTCGACACGAAGCTTAGGCACGTTGATAATTATCACCTTCGGTTGAGACGGGAAGTGAAGGCGGGACGCGTCGCCGTACGCTGGGTTCCGACAGCAAAAATGCCGCTGATGGCCTGACGAAGCTGCTCTCTCGGCAGCAGCATGCCAGGTTCGTCAAGCTATTGAGGATGGTAGACATTGAGCACCCGGTCATGAAGGGATGACCGACCCAAATTGGAGCATATTCGTTGGTAAAAGCCACTATAAGCGGCCCAGGATGGGATACTGAGGCCGCTGAGGTGGTGTGTCGGCATTACCTTACGAATACTGCATGAAACCGGGTCTGTAGATGATCCGAATGGCTTCGGGTATGTGATATATCCGAGGACCCTTATGTTATTAGAAATTGCCCAATAAATAGCAGGAAATAAGGGGTAATGAAATACGGAGTCATTGATATATCCAATGAGCCGGTTACAGTACGGGTCGTGACAGACTAGATTCACAGTAAATTCGAGCATCATTTCCTTGCCCGTTGCGGGGGCACTAACGTATTTCACATGCGAGCCGCCCACCCAAGCGAGCCGCCCACTCCAAAACACCATAGTAAATGCAATAAATTACAGCTTTCTATCTCAACAATCATGGCCTATAGGTATTTTTCATTTTAGCATAATGCTCTGGAGGTGATATCTAGCCTCTCTAGGGAGCTTGGAGAATTTCTATGACTTCGTGATTGAGATATATATATTTGTAGCTCATGGCAGTGTAATTTTCAGTCATTTTTGAAATGATGATAATATGGCTTTTTGATTTCCTTGAAATTGAAACATAGTGCTAATCGGACTTATCAATAGCCATTGGTAAGTAATGAAATATAACTAAGACGTGGTTGTTGAGATAAAAGTGTAGAATATATCGCGTTTACTATGGTGTTTTGGAGTGGGCGGCTCGCTTGGGTGGGCGGCTCGCATATGAAATACGTTAGCAAAACTCCTATATCATAACTCTCCAGAGGCTCCGAAATAAGAATATCGCTTCGACTGGAATTCCTTCTGAATACAAGACCGACTCTCAAATTTCGGCTACATAGAACCGTCAGAACCACCGATTTGTAACCCAGCAAATTAGTATAGCATCTCCTTCAGTTCCAATCCCAACGCCGTCTACATAGGTAGGTCTCTTGTTGATCATATATCCAAATGGCAACTTTGCGATTGATACGATCCACAACAACTGCCACTGTTTTTGAAGGACAATCGATTCTGTTGAAAGTACAGGATAAATTTACTGGGAAACATATACGTCAAGGCCAACGAGGTTGTTTAGGTCTGGCCTCTCTTCGATGAAAGAGAGATCCTATTTTAATGGAGAGCATTTCTCCTGAATTATGCTATACATGGTAGGTTCAATGCTGATCACTAGATTCATGCCTGGAGAAGCCATGAATCTCAACAGATTCGATTGCCCTGTCGGGATTGTATATCGCAAGAAACGGGATGAATTGCGGAAAGGGGTCAATGAGCTCCACAAAGAAAGATGCTTTCCACAAGAGCCTATGGATTGTGCTATCTGTTACGCGTCTAATATGTCGCCGTAGAACTACCCGGCTTTCCCAGCAAGCTAACATGGATCTTCCATGAATTATGAATCATTTTAAAGATAAGCCAACATCACGTCGACTTATATCTTACTTCATAACGCACGTCGGAGAACGCTCCAAACCCTAAGTGGCAGCCTGCGCCACGCTATCTATCTACTTGCGCGGACAGTGTGACGGGCTTTCTAGGTAGCCTGGGCCGACTGGTCGAAAGTTTGCTTGCCACCTAGGAAGCTGCCTTTACAAATTAGGTCGACTGGGACGTTGAATGATCTGTTTGCTTCCCCTGATCGTAGTAGAGATGACTCATCTGATCAGCCTGTATTGTGCTGCCCCTTGGCTATTGACATTCCGCGTTCTCAGCCTCATAGGGGGTGGTTTCGTGTCGAATATTACCAAGTTCAAGTACAACAGCAATTCATCATGAATTCCTCATTTCTCTTGCGGGATATACGTCGCTTTTCCGTGATAGCAATCGACCACCCTTCTTTGACGGGAGATTTTGGCGGGAGATCGCGTCCAAAAACGCGTAAAATGCGGCGCTTACGACACATCGCATGGCGGACATTCTCCTCGCACCATAAGCAGCCATTCACCCTCCCACCCCCCAAAGCTCATTTCAACCTCCCACCTGCTTGATGAGGAACGCGTGCCATGGTACGAGGAGAACCGATTCTACCCCGCAAAACCTGGTGAGGTTCTCGCCGAGCGCTTCCAGATCCTGGTCAAAATTGGCTATGGTAGCTCCTCAACAACATGGCTTGCCCGTGATATCCGGAAGATGTATGTGACTTTCACAATCTTATCGCTGGCTTGTGTGCTAAAGATCACCAGCGACTTCAACGATGGCGAGTTCGTGGCAGCGTTGAAAATCAACAACTGCGAGGGTGCTGTATCTGAGCGCGAGCTCGAAATAGAGGAGCATATCGCAAAGTCTGGCTCGTCGCATGGCGGGCGTGCACTTCTACGAACACACTTGGAGTATTTCGAAGTGGAAGGGCCAAGGGGTAAACATCTCTGTTTGGCTTATCCACCTATGAGGGAGCCTCTCTGGCGCTTTCAGAGACGGTTTGAAGACTCGGTTATTCCATTTCCGCTTCTTAAAGTATATCTTCTTGTCCTGCTGAAAGCCTTGGACTGTCTCCACACCGCTTGTGGTGTTGTTCATTCAGGGAAGTACTTCATTTTCGAATTGAATCATTTTGTCTTTGCTTTCCGGCTAACAATGTGCAGATCTAAAACTCGAGCACATCATGATGCCCTTCGAAGATGGCGAGGTGCTGTCTGGATTTCTGAATCAGCGTTTAGAGCAGCCAGCTGAATACAAAATCGATGCTGTTGGTCGACACGTCTTTCGCCATGACAGTGATTTTGGGGATCTAAGACGCTCGTGGATGAGTATGACCCCGCATATTGTTGATTTCGGGTCGTCTTTGCAGCTCCATGGTGAGACTGGACGGGGGCTTTTTCCGATTCAACCGAATCATTACCGTGCACCAGAGGTCACGCTTGGGTTTCCTTGGAACAGGAGTGCAGATATTTGGAGTCTTGGAACTTTGGTGCGTTCACTACCTTTGAGTTTAACACATAAAAATTGCAAACGTCTAACCCAGGCTAGATTTGGGATATGGCTCAGAATACAGAGCTTTTCCAGCAAGCTCAAGATTCGAATGGAAATTACGATTCGAAAGCCCATCTCGCAGAAATGATCGCCTTGCTAGGTCCGCCTCCTCCAGGGTTTATTGAAGCATCCCACTCCACACTCTTGTTAAAGTGGCCGCAGAAGATAAAAATCTACGGGGGCGAGCTATGTGAAAATGCAATGGAGATGTTCGGAGGTCCATTTTTCGACGATGATGGTACTTGAAATCCTTGTTTCAACACTGCCCTGGCTGGCGTTTACTGATTCGTATTCCCGATAGGCAAATTTCTCCATGAACATCTAATACCCGACCGAAAGATCGAAGATACGCTACCCCTACTGGAAGAAAAAGACAGAACTGAACTCTTATCGTTCGCAAAGAAGATGCTTACCTGGGATCCAGAGAAAAGAGCAACTGCTCGCGAACTACTAGAGCATCCATTCTTGAAGCTTGAATAACGGTGAAGTGAATAGTTGCCTAAATCTCAACTCTCTGTATGATATTGTGGTGCATATTATCCAGTAATCTCAACTCAGTGTATCATATTTCAATTTGAGCATCTCATTTCGGGATTGATGTCCATGCACCAGAGACAGCCCGTTGTTGGCTCTCATCAAATTTCACTGGAAGTGGGATTCGACCGCCGACGGCTCGTATGCCGACAGTCTATCTACACTTAGAGGCAAACCGCCAAATTTCGATGTAACAACTTATATTACCGAAAGGAGTAGGTAAATGTGGGTCTAAATCAATAATCGCATAATGGAGATGGGATGATTAGTAGGGTGCTGAACACGATTCTATCCGATATAATTGTATTAATATATGACCAAGTAAATCACTAGGTAAAGGAAAAAAATACATGTATGTGCTGCCGCTTCCAGTACCCATCTGGACAAATGGTCAGTATTTTCCATCATGGAATGTTTGGAGCAGGCTCATAAGTGTATAGGGACAATGTTCTCTTTCAAACTCAACTCCAGCATCTCAAGTTGATAGCTTCGAGGTTGCAATAGGTCCATCCTGACAAATGAATTCATCAAGTTCGGATCGGGATCAACCGTAGAAAGAAAGTAAGCTGAGTCGTGTCTCACAGATAAATAGATCAAAACTCACCTCTTTCAAGATGCGAACCTGGCCTTTTAGATTAATGAACGCTTTTGGAGGGGCGCGGCGGAGGTACGCGATGCATATGAGGTCTCATCAGCTTCCGTCTTATTGCACAACGCTTCTTGCCCATCAACGAGAAGTTGAAACGTGTTCCCCATATGCATTTGCCTTGAAGGAACTATTTTAATTGGCAAAGGACATTCATCTGACCGTAGGCTTGCAGGAAATTGCAGTCGATTGCAATTCACATGCCGTGCTTCCAAATTTGTCGGATGTCGTAAAATAACTCCTACAACAACTTTTCCCTACGTTATATTTATTTCGCAATGTTGTTTACAACCAACTTACACTAGGGAGAAAATGGCTTGCTTCTGGTAGTAATAGGTAAATTCGGCTTGTGCGTAGCGCAGCTTGGCCCTGTATTGCCAATTCAGGACCAATTGTACTGTTGTGGATGTGTCGTAGGCCTGTAGGACAAGTCTACCAGACATAGACTTTGAATATGCCATAGTCACGGCTAGGGACATTCAGTTTCAGGATCTCTGCCTATGCGGTTCGAACATTGACTTCTCTTAGGGCAAGCGCATAGCACCTCACATTCGAACCTTATTGGCACGCAGTGCCTAGCAGGGTGAGGCCCACGGCCACGGAAGCTGCATCAATCGTCGACATTTTGCCCATCGACTTCATGGCATTCCTTCGCCTATAGCTAGTTACCTTGCCCTTGAGATGGCTTTCATCGCCGTGTTTGTATCGTCTCTCCTCGTCTTCATCACCGTCATTAGGCTTTGTGGGTGTCTGCTTAATCATCCTTGCGGCCATTGCCACACCATCATTTCCACGGCGGATGTCGCGGCCACGGCTGGCGGGCCTTCTTGTCGGATTGAGCACTCGAGGAAACTATAAGACCTAATCGGCGAGCTTGGAGTTCGAGAGGACCTTGCGAAAATGGTCGTGCTGCTCGTGAGTGATCTTACCGAGGGTTGGCTCGTCTCATTTACCGTCATTTAATCCGACCTCCGAAATGTCCTGACAGAGCTGATCGATCGTTGTAATAACGCGAGCTAAAGAAGGATGACGCGATACTGTGCTTCCGTAGTATAATGCATTAATCCCGATAGGCGAGCACATACTGAAATACGGCGTCATAGTCCCGGGAAGCGCCGGTCTCACACGAGACCAAAATCCCAAGACCCCACATTGTACTTGGGCCGTCGGGTTCTCGGGTTGGGTGGGTATCACGACGGATGGGTTCAAGGTTTCACAGGTGCGAAACAAGGTAGTGACCTGCATTGAAACCTGTCATCCCATTTCGACTGCATAAGCTTCTTATACTAGAGAACGACGTTCTCGGCTCGATTGCTCCGAAGTACGGTGGACATTATCCCCTGGAGAAGGCTCCAGTTGACTGAGGAGAAGTCAATACCGTCATCAACGCTAGCCCACAGAGTGGTACCGACCGAGATAAACAAAGATCCATTTTTCGTAGCTCGGATCGTCTGCGGCTGGTCGAGGGAGATCGCTCCTGGTCTCTCAGTCGATGAGGTCAAAGGCATAGTTTGACCGCTTCGTTCCCGGTTGATCAGCAAAGCGATCGCTCGGCGGTTTGGGAGGCTTACCGGGAAGCCCGGACGGAAGGGCCTGGGTTTGTGCTCAAGATCTTGTCCTCATGTGTGCGCGGAGGGAGAACTTCATACGATAAAGGTGGAATGTCGGTTTCCGCTGCCTGAGGTTGTTGCAGAAGATCCAGAGGATTCTCAGAGCGCCCCTGCGCATGGTCAACGTATGGCTTGCCACCTTCGTCGGCCTACGACTAAAGGGTAGTGTGGTTGCGAAGGGCAAGCCATCATTGACCGAACCTCCGCCGGCGACCGGGAGTGGACCCCGCATCACCTTTCCCGTCTGATCGTCTCGGCCACTTCCACCCCGGTATGGGCATCGAGTCCCCTCCTTGGGCGGGAGTGGGGATGCGGGCGCACGATTGTAGCCCGCTCTTCGATCAAAGGTCCTCCGTGAGGCGCGAAGCTCTCTGCAGAGGAAAAGAAAAAGAAGAAGAAAAAGAAGCTGAGAACTGGATATATAGTGGCTGGACCTCAGTAGAGAGCTCAACGCTCATCTCCTCATTCCACATCGCAAACAGTTTAAGAGAATCAGCTGAAGTGTCAGATTCAGCGTCGGACTAGGCTTCATAACCATTTGGAGTTCAACATCAAGTTATCTTCGCGATGAGAAGTGCCTTGATTCTCATGACTGCCATGCTCAGTTTGGACGTCATTTGATATATGAGAAAGCAGATATCGATGATCGAGGAGATCACCATTGTTACACAGATCCCCATCGGATCCTTCTTCACGACGGCATCTGGTATAAAATGCAGACTTCTGCCGGCGAGGTTGGCGCCATAGGAACGTGCTGGGAAGAGCTTGTGGATCGTAGTGAGTTCGTAAGGCGGATTGGCGGTCCATTAGTGAGATGTCTTCCATGCTATATGGTCCAGTTTCTGCCCTCATAGCCCATAAGAAAGCAGCAAGGTTCGAGTGTGCGACGAGGTATCACATTCTTCCGACGACGATGCGAATCAGCTTTTCAACTTTCCCGTGCTGCTCGTGAGCCAATAGTGTCAAACGATGCTCCGATCGGTGCAGATCCGGTGATATTGTTGAGATGAACTCGCCGCCGATAGGGAAGTGGATGGCAGAGATCCCGCTAGCTCATTCGACTGATACTAGCTATTGTATTCAAACCATGTGGTCCTTTTTATATCGGGCAAGATACTTTTGGACAGTGGCTTTGGGCTCATCTTTGGTGCGACAAAATTCCCATGTCGGCCCAGCTGTCAATCTTATCGGCCATGAGGAGCCAATACCTGGCCTCGGAGGTCAGTTCTGGTTTGATGTTGTCACCTCCACCGATGTCTATATAGACGAAGTCTGCAGCCTTGGAGAGCGGCTTAGGGCCGGCGTCCGTCGGACTGTACTGGTACCATTTTGCTACAGGCGGAGTGTGTGCGGAACCCTGCGTTCCTATCACCTCCCTTGGGATATCGGGATGCACCACGTTTGGGGTCGCCGGCGGGCACCTTTGTCTGCGAGTTTGTCCGGCACGTCGTTGTTCTCGGTTTCGGTGTGGCGAGGGACCGCTGGACGAGCACGTCACGCTACAGTAGAACAGCGTGACATGCGAGGATGTACACCGCGAGGTAGAAAATGCCTTTCCTCTCGGGTACCAGATCACCCAGCTGCTGTCAAGGGAGATGGTATGCCTCAGCCCGCACCAGGCGCTCACCGTCTCGGCATTGAAAACATGGGAACGGGTGTTGATTGCGTCTTCCCGCAGGCGATATAGCGCACGCTTTCGTATACGGCGTAACAATATCTCACACACCGAGCGCCGTCCTCTCGTTACCCTGAGCCGTCGGAGAAGACTGTGTCCGCGAAAGGGCGGCCCACCAGGCAGTGAAGACCTCCGCCGTTGGTTCTTTATCGATGCCTGAGATCGGTCGGTCCTAAGTGACCCTCCGATTTCACGAGCCCTGTAACCGATCTCAGTCCCTTACAAAAGTGAGAGGATGATATGTCGCAGTAATGACTGCCTCTTTTGGGGTTGGGGGGTTTTGGATGGGGGAAAAGCTGGCAACCAGTCCCCCGTCCTAACGACGCCCCTGATGTGTTTGGAAACAGCGGAGGCTCGGCCGCGCGGGCTTAAACGTAGCATCGCAATTTGCTTTCTTGCCAACGTGTACTCCGAGCCACCGGAGCGCGTGTTGTTTGTCCGTCTTCGCTGTGGTGATCGGATGGACCGCGAGTTCGGCATCGTGAGTGAAGGCCGCCACCGCGTACGTCGTGGAAGGTACCTATGTACCTCCCTGTTAAGGGCTGACCTCGTGCCTTGAAGTGACGACTGGGGGGTTGAGGGAGGGTGGAGATGCCGCTTTCAACCAGGCGTGCAAATTGCGGAGGCGTGTCCTCGGGAACCCGTTAATAGAACTGATTGAGGGGGCCGACGCCCCGGCTGAGGATAGAGGCGACGAGAGTCTCATGGTCCGAACGACAGCGTAGCTCCTCCCACACATTGGTCTGGGCGGAAGAGATGACCGCGAAGGTGAGGTCGAACACATGGCCGCCCTGTGAATGGGGCACACCCGGGATCATCCATCTGGCTCGCACTGGCTAAGCAATCAAGGTCGACACCCCGGTTTCTGCTTGCGGTGTCCCGGGTAGATGAGTCATGCTTGTCGTTGGAATCCTCCCAAATACGTATCTGGGACTTGTTTCGAGATTGGTAACGTAGTCAATGAACCTCGGAAGTCGTTGTTGCCTGTAGGCGATAATGATGCGGTAGCCGTTTGCTGTGATCCAGAGTAGATCTCTGCTTGAGGACTGGGGCCGTTACGCGCGGAGGCCCGCTCCTTTCCGGTCTGGGTCATTGTCCTGGGTCGGTTCCGCTTCCCTGGCTTCTAGGTATGGGGTATGCAGTCCTTGACCGGAGCGAAGCAGTCGTAAGCAGGATCTTTCAGGTATTTATGCCTTACAAGGTAAAGAGCTCTTGCATGTAATCGGCTGTTATGCAATAGGCGTTGGTTGAATTTCTCAATTGACGAAGCATCAACAGCTTCGCGTAGTGTTATTTTCAAGCTGCTACAGACTCGGAAGTTGTTCCTTTATAGACAAGAAAAAGTCGACTATAGCTAGCCAGTTGAGTGATGTCTTTAAGTTATCCTACAATGATTGCGCCCATTTTATTAACGATTCTTCTCCTTCCTTATTAAGAGGGAACATTTTGTTGAACCTCTAGTAGTTAGGAGACTGGTGCTATCATGGCGGTGAGCCACATTATTGTTGACGGGACCTTCCGAGACCCCTCGAAGCAGCTCAACTGCGGAGTCGCAGTAGGACCCCGCTTTGAAGTCCACTCGGCCAGATTTCTATAAATCTTACGTTGCTTGACGCAGCTTTCCAATCGAGTTAAAAGGACATGTCCCTGTCCGATCTCATAGTCCCTGTCTTAGCACCCTAGCAAGCAAGGACTTACGTTTACTACCAGTTTGGCTATTTACTTCTACCAACGATGGAAACAGACATCACATCGGCAAAGACGCCTTCTGTCACAGAGGTTTCACATACGGACAGTGGGAACGAACCTAACAGGCCAGATGCTCATCGCCGCGCGAGTCATAGGTTCTGGAGCCGCGAAACGTAAGTAAATAGGTCCCAGCGGGCCAATAAACCTGACGAATAACGTTTTCTACGGTTATTGGGGGTCCGTACTCTTCAATCTAGGCGCCTTTATTCTACCAGCCTTGTATAGTACTCTCAGCAAGTTATGGGTAGCCCAAATCGATTCCAACCAAGTGGTGACGACCGATGTATACACCTACATTGGAGTAATCGTCGAGGTTTTGAATGAAGGATTCCCTCGCTCTGCCTGGTTGCTGATTGGGGATAATGCAACTCGGACCATGCGCTCGCGCTTGAACCTTGCGTGCACGATGATTACAGCTACGGTCGCGCAGGGCTTCGTCGTGATGGTCATATTTCTCTCTTATCCCCAGAGCCTGGCATCCGCATTCGTTCCAGCAAAGGTTCGGCAAGCCTCCATCACATACGTGCGACTGTCTTCCGTTCAATTCCTGACCTCGGCGGTGGAGGCTGCCCTATCATCATCCACACGAGCACTGGACAACCCTGATGTACCGCTGATCATAAGCTCGAGCAAATTTGTTATCAACATATTACTGGACCTGCTTATAATCTCAAGGTTCCACGTCGGACACACCAGGCCAACTGTTGTTCAACAGGCAATTATTAGGCTTGTTTGTGATTGCTTTTCTGCTCTCGCAGGGATAATATATTTCGCCTATGTTGTCAAGTATCGCATGAGTGAGGCCGCCGAGCGACACGGTTTTGAAGTGACCATCGCGGCACTTAAGACGTTGGTTCGACCAAGCATCTACACATTTACGGAATCCGCTATCAGGAACGTCATCTATCTCTGGATGGTGCATGAGATTGTACAACTCGGTGAAACTTATGCTACTGCCTGGGGTATCTTTAATACAATCCGCTGGGGTCTCGTAATGGTCCCTGTACAAGCACTCGAAGCATCTACACTCGCGTTTGTTGGTCACAACTGGGGTCGTTTTCGAGCCTTCAAAGATGCCGAATACCCCAAAGCATCCTATCGGGAAGTTCTACGTATGGGATCGTGAAATGCCGTCTCGGAACTGGTACTAACAGACATTCAGGGATCCTGCGACCCGCTCTGTTGTCTGGTTCGATTGCACTCTTCTTTGAGACGGTGCTCTTCGCCTCGCTTTCTGCGCGGGGGATCAGTGCGTTTGCGTTCTATCTATCTCGCTCCGCAGATGTAGCGAGAACTGCGCAGACAATGTGGAAGGTAGGTTTTCTACCACGAGCGCTTGCCAAAGGGTACCAACCATTTATGCGTACAGGTCGTGGACTGGACTTATATCTTTTATGGGCTTGGCTATCAACTGGCAGCCGTCCTACTTGCTGCATCACCGCGATGGTATCTCTACCGGGCCGTGGGCTCCAATTTTCTGTGGATGCTACCGTGGGCAATCGTGGTTACCAAATGTTCATTCCCGGACTCTTCCTCATGGAGGTATTATGCCATCATCTTTGGTGGTGCAAACGTTTTCGACTTTCTGATTGTCGGCGTAACGCTCCTCCTATGGCTCTACAGACTAGGGCAGGGAAAAGTCAAAGCCGCACCAGCAAGCCCTGACTAGCAGTAGCGCATAACATTCACAAGAGCAAGGCAGACCTCGCGCACTCTGCACAGTGAACCAAGGCCATAGTAAACCAGATTGGAATATGCGTAGTTGATCCGTCACTGACCACTGATCGAGATCAGTGCGAGCAACTTGTACATCCTAGCTTGGAAGATCTGCTGCGACCGTGGAAGCCCAACCTGACACACAATCCTCATTTCGTAATTAACCCGCTGTCCTTGTAGATTGGCATCTGAAATGTACCGAAAGGTTAAGCCGATATCACTTATCGCATCCGGTGGCGGACCCCTGGATCACCCTCACCCACTCCAGGAAGTCTTCTTCTCACCCACACCCAGCCCTTCTTCTGCACGATCACGCTCAATTGAGTAACCCGATGACCCTGGATTGTGGTCGCGACACCTCACAACGATGATGACCACTCGTGGAGGCCGTCGTCTCTCGCGCCCGCGCACCGTCCAAAAACGTCGCCTTATCTAGACGTGTCTCTCGAGCAACCGTCGACGCGACCACCGCGTCTGCCATGATATAAATTATAACCTCTCTCCGCTCCACGCTCAGCCGACCTCTCGTTCGCTTCATCTCCCCTTTCCTGCCCAACGACAGCATGGCTGAAGTCGAAGTTTACCTTCCGGAAAGCCTGCGTAGCTTGGCAGCCATGATAGAGAATCAACCACGCGGTCAGGTTCACGACCTGAACGACGATGACGAGGTACGCATCCTTGCCTTGCTCTGCGGGGGACACTGTGCCGGTGCCGTGACCCTGGGATGCTGACCGACATGATAGTTTACGGCGGTGGTGGAGCAGTGCGGTCACCTGTGGCACAAGGCGCTTGGAGGCATGCAAGCCCCTTTCTACCTGAGCCATGACGAAATATCTGTGATCAATCGAACGGTGACCAATCGAAACAACCGTCTGAGCCGTGGCAACGGACCTGAGATCGACCCAAACCCAAACCGTCTTTACGAGAACCTGCGCAAGAAATGGGTCCCCTTCGAGCTTTGCCAAAAAGCGGAGGAAGAAGTCTGGAAATGGGCCGAAAAGCCCGCCTCTTTCTTTGAATACATGCCCGAAACTACGCCCGAATCTACGCCGTCGATGTTGGACTCGGTCTGCCGCCTGCTGATTCATCTGGCGGAAAAGGAGCAAGTTAATACCGTTCGCCGGCGATTGCTCCTGTGCTTTCTCGTCGAGTTTATTGACGAACGGATCGAGGACATCGGCAATGACAACATGATTTCACTCTTGGTCCAGGAGAATCTGGTCTCTCGCGGATTGATGCAGTACAAACAACTAACGGACTGGAGAAAAGCTGGGAGCAAATACCTGGCCCTGGCCAACGAACTTGGAGGCTGGGGGGCCCTGGTCTTCCTTCCTGCCCTGGCTCGAACAGATTACGAGTCGCACTACCACCCGACTAGTAAGGATATGACTAAGGAGCACCAGCGTAGGATCATCATTCAACGACTGCGAGAGAAGGTGCCGCAAGCCGCCAGCCGGGAGCGCCGCGGTGGCCGGAACGCTTATGAGGTTGTCGAGGCCCTCCGCGAGCACTGGCGCAGCAAATTCTCGACGATCATCCTCGACTGCGACCTGTACGGGCGCCAGGAAACTTCAACGACACTCAATTGCCGCCAGTATGATCCAACGACTAAACCCTATCGTTTCCGGCAGTCGCGAATTGCTAAGCAGACATCACACCCGAGGACGCCCCTTCCGGCCATGGGTGAAGATGTCCCCCTGTGGCAAGCTCCTTCGTCGATAGTTCAGTCGCCTTGGGGCGATAGCGAGCTAACACCAGATGGTGCATCTACGACCCAGCTCTCTTTCCCCACTTCGAATGACGATGATTGTCGCCGGGTGTTCCCCAGTTCCTCCTCAATGCCGCTCGTCATCTAGACAAGGCCCCTAGATGGCTGCCTGCTGTTGGTTGTGATCGTGTGCGGGCTTTTCAATCATCGAGGACTACATTATCCCTGGTGCAGCATATGCACCTGCTGGTAGAAGGATTTAGATTCATATCCACCTTCTCTTAGAGTGCGAAAATAGAGGTGGGACACAAGGAGGGCACTGTTTCTGTCTTTTGTTGTTGGCGGCGCGCGTCTATAATCTTTTTGGCGAAAGACATAGGCCACCTCGCGATGGATGTGATTTCCTGGCGTGACTGTGACAGTCATAATAGCCGTCGAAACGAGGCGGACGAGGCGGACGAGGCGTACGAGGCGTACAGCGGCGCTGGATGGTTTCCGACAGCTTTGCGTACATTTTCTACTGTCTAGACTATCTGAAGGCGCAGCAATCTATCTATTCACGTCATGACACACTAGCGCGGCTTATCAACCTTCTCTGTCGCTAGTTTCTAAAGTCGGTAAACAGTACCTCAGTAGGACCACGGGTTACTAATCATGCCTGAAGAGAAGATGAATCGGCCACAAGTCTGCACGGCGGTGGCTAAGTGACAGACTTTTACCCTTCAAAGTTATGTTAACTAGTTAGAGCCTAGCTAGAACGGTAATGTGTATGAATGATTGATCAGCGGTGTGCAAAGGATCAGGCCTCCACTGGACCTCAGAGAAAAGGGATCCCTTTGGACTGCCGTCAATGTCTTCCGCATCCTTATCGCCCTACCGACAACCTACTACCCCCAAAGTGTCCGACCACATCACCAACTTAGACCCCGGGGCTCGTCGGTAGGGACTTCGACGCCTAGCACAATAATTCTGAACCCGGAATCCAGAGCACCCGTAATGCATTGGATACAAAGGATGCGTGGGATACACCATCCATCTCTTCATGTCCTCTCCTTAGAACTCATCAGACTCTCCTCATCAATACACCACTCAATTGTTGCTGTGGCAAGATCAGACCCCGTTTCCAAGATCTGCTTCATCCTCCCTCGACGTGTTGAAACTGAGCAAGAAGACCGGTCTGGTGCATGAATTTGGCAACGTAGCGGGTTGCCAGCGAATTGTGACGTTTGTCTGAGTTCGAAGAGCCCGTATGTGGTCGTAATCAGTCCAAGTACATACTGGCCGGATGGCCTTTGTGGGTGTTGGACTACTTCAATAGCGGATGGCTGTCTGAGAAAATGGTCACTTCTCGAGCCGTGGTCCGCTTCGCGCCGATCATTGATGGATTTTCCTTGTTGTCTTCCCTGGCGCTCGCCAGTGCAATTGCAATGCCGGTGAGCTCGGCATCATAAAACGTGGACTGCTCCTCAGTCCCGAGATGCATTCTCTCACTCCGACCGTCATGGGAATTGAGGCAGCCGCACCAATGAGTCCTGAAATCCGCTGCCGTCAGTGTACGCGTACACCATAGAGGTGAGACCTTTGGCATTGCCATTGCTACTGGCCTTGCCGCTGGCATCCTCCTGGATCCTCTCATACATCGCATTGTGAGTCGCCAATACTACCTCCGCGAATCCCACAAAGCACTGAGCTCCCATGAAGCCAGCGCGTGGAATTCTTGTCTCCCAGTTTCCCCCACATTTCTTGTCCAATTTGATCGGACCCTTCTTCCATACCAGCGCTTCCAACGGTGTCCATCCTCCAGGACGCCGCTCGGTCGGCTTTCTTGCCAACCCCTCCTTCGCCGACTGAGGGCAGGCCCAATGTGGGCCAGTAAGGATGCGAATAGCTGTTTCCTCGATGATTTGCTGTAGCCGTAATTTTATTGGTGTCAAGAATAGCTCAATGTAGAGCGCAGTAGTGAAGATGCTTTTGAAAGTCTACTGATCAGAATCGCCGCACCCTTTTGGGAGCGTATCTCGTGAGAGACGTCGTAAGCGCCGGCCATGTCGAGTAAAAGCATGCTTGCTTTTTGACCATTCCCCAAGCAGTATGGACCCGATCGAGATTCGGCTGATAGCATGGTCCACAGACCCTTTCCTGCCACCTAGGTGAGTTCAGATATCAGCCAGTATTCCTCGACGGCCCAGGCAATCCTAATGGCAATAATTGCTTCAAGGATCTTCCTGAGCGTGTCGAGCAATGCGACTGGCCTGTACGCCTTCAGCAAGCAGTAGTCTCGCAGCCAAGCCTTTCTTAGCGTCACTGTGATCGAGGCCTGAAACCGCGAGGGTTGTGGCTGATTCGCCTGCCAGCAATCTCCACCCCATATTGGGAATGCCATCAGCCCCAGGGGCCTTGTTTGAAGGTACTCGGCGGATTGCCGCGGCCATTTGTTGCTCAGTAATAGGTGGGAAAGTGACGGATTCTCAGACTCTGTTGTCTGAGAGATCAGCGATAGGCGGTGCTGGGAAGAAAGCCTGCGTGCAGTCTTGATCGCCTGTCAGCACTGGTCAGTAAATGAGGGATTCGCCCATTTGCTGGGGTTGGCCCATGGTGTGGATTCCTCGACAGCTCGGTTGATCACCTCCATGAAGTGGTCCACTGCGTCGTCAATTTGTTGTGGCGTAGCGAGGTGGCGCATCAGAGGCATGCAGAGGTTGCTTGCGACGAATTTCTCGAATTTGGCGGTTTCTGTGGCCTTCCAGTTACGCCGCTATGGCTGGCTGTCGGCAGTGCTGGGTGTATCGATGTCGAGTATAGTACGTATTGGGAGATGATCAGAGTGGGCATGGCATTCGTGGGCAACCTAGCTAGCCAGGAAGCCCTCCGATGGATCGTGACAGCCAAAAACTAGGTCGATAGTAGTCTGATGGCTCGATTCATCGCGGGTAATGGTGCCAGGTGCTAAACAGAGGTTCAGGTCGGCCGAATTGGTCAGCTCAATCAGAGCATCGGCTCTGGCATCCTGGACTGCGTCGTCTCCACCCCAGGCTGGGTGATGGATAATGAAATCTCCCTGTATAATGCTGCTGGGCCCTGCTTGCCGTGGATGCCCTCAAGCTTCACGATCGTGTCGATATAGCTGATGGGTTTATATATATTATGATCCTGAGCTCGCCTTGCTCACCTAGCTTGCGCTCAATTCTTACTTCCTGGGCGTCTCCCCATGCGCGATACGACCATTGGCTGATTATTTTCGATATGAGCATGCAAACCCGCGTCCTTTCGCCGGCGCATTCATTGGTGGTTGGAAAAACGAGCTCATGTGTCTGTTTCGCTGGGCGATGGGTGGTGTCGGTGTACGGGATGTTCCATCGCTCCTGAATAGCGATAATATCGGCTTCTCCAAGACCCTGGGAATCTGAAGAAGTCCGCCATGATGACGTCCTTCGAGCAGTGCACATTATATTGAAGAACTGCGAAGCTTTTATTCATTTGAATCGGCATTGGTAGCGGGTTGGTTGGCGTTGGCATTCTCGCTGCCGTCGGTGATGCTTCTTAGACTGCTCGGCTCAGATAATTGGTGTCAATCTCGAAGCTTTCACCATGCTCTCTCTTGTTGTTGCGGGTGTTACGACCGGGCATTCAAAATAGGCCAGTTCTCCTTGCCTAAAGCTGATTTTGTCGCTTTTCTCGCGACCCATCCGTTGCTACTCTTCTCGGCTAGAGCTGATGATAACGGCGGGTTCCATGAGAGTTCGTCCTTGTGGTTGGGATCGGTGCCGATGAAGTCGACGATGCTTGGGATGACGCTGCGCTTGCTTCTTGTTTTCACCGGCTCCGATCGAGATGCCCGGAAGATGATTGGTGCGTGTATCGACTGGTGAATACCAGCCGGGTGAGGTCGTACAGGACGGCTGAGATCCTCGCTAATATCCATCAGGAAGTCGTCGGCAATTTCCAGTGTTTGCGTGTTGTTAGGGGTCATGACCGATGTCTCGGTCGGCTGGCTGCCATCGTTTCTGGTAGCAATGCTCGTGGCATTACCCCCGGTTGCGACACTTGCCGGCTTGCTTGCTGGCTTGCTCACTTTGTTAGCCTGGCTGACCGCCGGCTTCGCTGCTTTGCCATTTGCAGAGCTGGTTCGCTGATTGAAAGCTTGCTTGCTTCGAGTGTTGATGTTGGTGGTTTTCGCCGCCCCATGGCCGCTACCCATACAGACAGCTTCCCTCACTGTTGGATCCGAGCTCACTAGCCCTGAGCCTGAGCCTGAGCTACTGGACCCTGCCATCCTCGGAGCAATCCGAGACAGAGAGGTAAGCCGGGATACAATGGTACCGCTCCCTTCTCAGTGCAAGCTATTGCACCCTCTCCAGCTCCACCACAAAGTCCTTGCACCTCTTAGACCATGCAGCGTGTGCGCCCCCGCAATTGGCGCACTTGCGTTCGATAAGGGTGGCGTCTTGCTTGCCCCGGCAATCAGTGGAGAGGTGGTCGCCGGCCCCCCAGACGCATTTAGGTTGACCAGAGCAGGTCCGTCCTATGTGGCAATACTTTTGACATGTGTGGCTGGCATTGACGAAGCGAGCAGCCCGATCATATAAGACCGTGGTGACGACCGATAAGTCTCAAATTGTGTTGGCATCAATAGCTCGATTCGCGAGACGTGGCAAGGCGAATTCGACGACCATGAAGCCGGACTTTTTGGCACCAGCCATGTCGCCCTTTTTAATGCTTCTACTTAGGAAAGCACTTTCCCTGGTCGGACTTCATTGGTTGCAGTGGTCGAGATTCGCATTGTATGAAGGACTTGCTTACTATCACGGTTTTCTTGATGAATTTGTTCGAAGTGGTGTCCCAGTCCGGGTTGTCGAGCAGGTCTGGGTAAGCTCCTTGATACTTTTGACATACTGGAGTATCTCATTTGGGATCTTGGTCAACCCATCACTGCTGAACTTCATCAGCTGCTGCTGCACGTCGTGATTTGTGTTAAGGATGCGCCTGGCGTTGGATGTGGTCGTGCTTGCAGATTTTTCGTGCGGCCCCCTGAAAGGGCAGCCAGGCGCCATACTATCGGAACCAGTATGAAACCCGTATCAGACGTAGAATGTTAAGTTACGAATAACTTGCGCTTGTTGCGGAAGCCCTAGCTCCTCGCGTTGTGGTGCAATTTCAATAATTAGATTCGCGGTGGTAGATTTTTTTAACCCCCTTTATATAACTAATTTCTTGGTAAAGTATATTACGTTTTTACTCTATATCTCCCCTATAATAGTTGCATCCCCTTCCATATGTCCCTTGCCACCACTTTTTCGGGTCCCCATGCAAAATATGTCACTTTCACAAGTATATAGCACCACCATTGTATGCTCTCTCCTTGTGCTTAGTATTAGCGCATCCATCTTCGACTGATCTAATATTCTATGATTCTAACAGACATTTTTTACACTAAAGCTAGTTAGTCTTCGATCTTCCCATGCTAATAAGCTCCGGAAATAATGCAAAAGCTTCACTTTTAATAGCGCTATACCGGTTCAATTAGGTTTAAATCTGGTGAGTGCGCGGGCGTTAGACGTATACTCTGTGAGTTTTAAACCATCTCCGTCTTATATTGCTAAAATACTATTCCGTGTATATAGATTAGTAATAGACATTTTGGAGCGTTCCGGATGCGATTTTGTAGTATAGCCCCTCGCCGAAATCGATTCTTCGTCGCGTTCTATGTTTAATAATTCTGTTCGACCTCCTAGCTAGATTCCAGCCTAAACCATTTATGAAGTGGCATTAACGTAAGCTTTAGTATTCATATATCTCTTCGAAGGTCCCCCGGGGTCGTACGGAAGCACTATTATGGCCTAAAATTCGAGGTTCGCTATACCGAACACTCGTCCGAGAAGATCCACGATTGGAAGCTTTCGCATCGCTATTTTTGCGCAAACCTTAGCCTCTCTCTTGTGAGGGGAGGCTTAATTAGAATCTTCCGTTTCGATCGACGTTTTCCGAGTCCAAATCGCTTTAAAAATCAACGTATAGTAGAGTGAGGGATACTAAGCTATAGTAGCACTTGGCTGTTCATAAGTTAGGTCTAAAACGGATGCCGACGTGCCTGTAGATAAAGATGTTGGGAAGCGCGCTCACTTGGAATTGCGGGACGGCAACTTTTTTTTCGCAATTCTTCTAGCTTTTCGCCTTCTAAATAGCGCTTAAGTGTATTGTAGATTGTACGCTGAGAGCAGCCAAAGTCATTAGCTAATTGCACCTACGTAGTCGTGAGAATAGCTAATGCCTGTAGATAGCTGCGCGGTTTGCTATTTTTAGGTACTATTTTCATTATAATCGGAACAATAGGGGAGGCCAATATATCGGGGCGGAGTGGGAAGGAACATTTTGACTAGTATCTATCTGTATTATGATACGAACTTCTTACCTAATACTTCTTACTTATGAAGTCCATAGAAAAGAGTAGGCTAGCGAAGGAAACTTCCAGCTACCACTTCTATATATATATTAATCCTATACCTCATACCTCTAAATTACTTTCCTCTTATAGCAGCGGCGCTTGCGCGCCGTCCAAAATATTTGTATTTTCTATAAAAGTAATTCATGATGATTTTTAATATTATGTTATTATGAAAGACCTAATAATATTAAGATGAGGATATAATAATCACAGGAAATATAAAAATTATAATAAACTACTAAAAACCTCGCCTTATAAAAAAAAAAAATTCTAAACATCAGTGTAAAAATTATACTGTATCAAAAATAGCTCGTCTCATCTTACCTAGGGATATCCGTCTACAATTTAGAATTTAGAATATCGTAATTCTAATAGCTTACTGTCATTTATCTATGAAGCTTAGGCACTTAACATCTTAATACTTACAATAACTTTTCAAAAAAGCGCCATATCACAGTTTATCAATAAATTAAACCGTTTTATACTTAGTATTACTACAAATTATATATTATTTGGGCTAGTAACGTAGCAAAATTATTAGATAGTTGTCCCTTGCCTTATATATATTACCTTGTATTAATCATTCTTCTAAAGGGGTCTTAAAAGAGGTACAAAAACATTATAATTTGAGGTCCTTACCGAAAATTACATTGCTAAAAACTACAAAAAATATATATCCAAATCAGTGAGTATCAAAATTGCTCTAAACTCCTTAAAGAGTCCAGCTATCACCTAAACGTATTGTGCGATAACGCAAAGTCTCTATAGATCACTGTTGTTAAGATAGTAAGTTGTAATTTATCTGATTTAGTATGGTGTTTTGAGGTGGCCACTCGACCGGGATGGCCACTCGCCCGGGAATTACGTTATAAACATTCTGTTTACTAATGCCTATTGCTGTCTAGGCTACTTTACGTACGTAATTAGATGTATTTTTATGGGAATTGATAGGGACACTCCCACTTTTGTTCCGGACACTCCTAATTATGTAATATCCATGATTAGGTAATTGAAAACGTCATGTGATTGTATTGGAATTACCACAGCAACATCATTCTAAATGTCATACCATAGTATAGTATATTAAACGTATAAATCCCCAGCTCTCGCCTCCCTCTTTTCTTAGCTCCTCAAATCTCTGCCTCTCGGATTTTTCAGAAATGGAGCCCCCTACTGAGCAAATTTTTGATAGCAGAGATATATTAATTGCCTCTGTCCGTCAGCATGCTCTCTCGCAAGGTTACGCTGTCACTACTATACGATCAATCACAGATAAGTACATCTATCTTGGTTGTGACCGTGGTGGCACGTATCGTGACGAGTGAATGCTCCTGATGGAGCGAAACGAAGAACGACAACTACACGGCGGATTGGCTGTCCATTTAAGCTATACGGGAAAATGCTTTTTGATGATAAGTGGGAGCTACAGGTCCAAAACCGGAATCATAATCACACAGCTGATGATAATATGATCGGACATTCAGCTGCCCGTCGGCTCACAGAGGAGCAGCTTCAAAAGGTCCTACATCTATCGGAAATTGGATCTCCCCCTCGTGGCATCCTAGCTCTAATCAAACGAGAGCATCCTAATGCTTTAGTTACCCCTCGAGACATCTACAATGCGCGAAGTGCTTTACGAAGGCAAAAGCTCGGTAATAGTACTCCCCTTGAGTTTCTACTGAAGACTTTGAAGGAAAATCACTGGAAATATGCTATTAAGCAGGATAGCGAAGGACATGTCCTCTTTTTTATGTTTGCACACCCAGAGTCAATCAAGTATGCTAACCTATACAACAGGGTATTCGTCCTAGACTGCACCTATAAGACAAACCGATATCGTATGCCTCTATTGCATATTATTGGTGTCTCGCCATCAAATTCAACCTTTAGCGTTGCATTTTGCTTTATGCAGAATGAACAGGAAGAGAGCTATATTTGGGCTTTAAAGACTTTTTTCTCATTTCTCGACCCCCTCTCTTTCTATCCAGTTCTTTGTACAGATAGAGACCTTGCATTATTAGGTGCTGTCAAGGTCGTCTGTCCAGATTATCCCCATCTTCTTTGCATCTGGCATATTAACAAGAACGTAACGTCTAATACGAAGCAGCATTTTACGACGAACGCCGAATATCAAACATTTCAAAAATCATGGAATCAGCTAATTTATTCTACTACAGAGAACGACTACAATTCGAGGCTATCAGAGTTCGAGAAGCGATATCAGACCTCCCCTTCTCTTCGATATGTTAAGGAGACATGGCTAATTCATAAAGAAAAATTTATAGTTGCATGGACACAACAATGCCTACACCTCGGTAATTCTGCGACCTCTCGAGTTGAAGGCTCACATGCCTTTTAAAAAAGCACATCGGTGCTTCGACAGGGGATATGTTGATCGTATTTGAAAGGATTTCACAGGCTTTACAAACCCAGCATGCTACGCTTGAATATGATTTTAGACGAGATCAGATTGAGAGGCCAGTAGTAACCTTACATCAACTTTATACTAATATTGTGATCAGGACCTCCCGCTATTCGATACGACTAATTGGCGAGCAAGTTACAAAGGCTAGAAGAGCTACAAATCTTGCTCCTTTACCCCCTTGTACTAATACGTTCACAAGGACAATGGGTCTTCCTTGTGCCCATCGGATTACTAGTTTATTGGAGAGCAATAAAGCTATCCCATTGACAGATATCCACCCATTCTGGCGAACTGGGCTTTCTGAAATGGAATCAGAATACCTTCCTCTCTTAGAGCCTTTGATTCCTTTTCCAAAGCCTAAAAAGCGGAAGTGGGATCAATTGGAGCAGAAAGACAACAGCCAGAC